GCTAAGGAGAGAAGGAATAGAACAAAACTGTTACATCGTGGTGCTATAAACTGTCCCCTTCTCATCCCCGTGCTCTGTTTTCTATTAGCAAAGTAGCCCTTGGTAAAGGCCTTGACTTTGACCTTGATAATCTGATTAAGGTGATGTCAGCCAAGTTTTTCCGTTGTAAAGTGACTAGTGTTTTTTCTTTCCGTACTCTATCCTTTGGAAGGCAGTCATTAAGAACAACCATGGCCCAGTGGTAAAGAATCTGCCTGGGGACGCAAGAGACACGGGTTCTATCCCTAAGTAGGGAAGATCCCCTGGCAAAACACTCCGGGATTCTTGCCTGAAAAATTCCATGGACAAAGGAGCCTGGCGGGCCACAGTCCATGGGGTTGCAAAGAGTCCAATAGGACTGAGCGCGCGCACACACACACACACACACACACTCTCAAGGGAGCAGAGCTAAGCCCCACCTCCTCGAGGGAAGGGTATCGTGGCAGCCTGCAAGATGCGTCCTTTGCCCCTCATTTGTGTGTTCATTCAAGTTTTTATCCATATCCGTGTGGACTCGAGAATATTCCTTCCCTTGTTTGAGTTATAATTCAATACGTTATTTTTGTTGTTCAGACTGTTCCACCTTTGGCCATTGGTATCTCCTGCAGGATCATTCTTGTGTACTTTTGACATGCTCTCCTCCCCTTTAAGGGCAATTTTTGAAAATAAAAGTTATACTTTGCAATTCATTTTTGTTTTATTAAACATTATTTAATTCCAGCTAAGGCTATGTCTATATATTCCTCTTTATGTGTCTGTGTGTGTGTGTCCCTTTGTGTGTGAGAGTCTGTGTATGTGTGTGCGTTTTAAACACTTGTATGCTGATCTTGTTAGGTCCTAAGCAAATGTTAAATTCATTCTTAATAAAACTACACAAAGCAAGTCCCAGAGCAATTCTTATGTGTAGACCCATTTATCAGGCCTCTATTAAATACGGAAAATGCCTTTGATGTGGAATTGCTTATAGCCGTGCAGTAGATGCTCATAAAATAAAAATTAATTCAGAGTGATGTGGTACAAATTGCTTCACATAGGAAAAAAACCTGGAGGTTCCATGGCCAAACGTATGGCTTTATCTTTTTTAAAAAAATATTTATTTATTCCGCTGCTTTGGTGGTACATGGGATGTTTTAGTTGTGGCCTGTGGGATCTAGTTCCTGGACCAGGGATAGAACCTGGGCGTCCTGCATTGGGAGCATGCAGTCTTAGCCACTGGACCACCAGGGAAGTCTCCATCTAACTGAACAACAACAACATTTATATAAGAGGGCTTCCCAGGTGGTACTAGTGGTAAGGAATTCGCCTGCCAATGCAGGAGACATAAGAGACTCCGGTTTGATCCCTGGATTGGGAAGATCCCCTGGAGGAGGGCATGGAAATCCACTCCAGTATTCTTGCCTGAGGAATCCCATGGACTGAGGAGCTTGGCGGGCTATAGTCCATGGGGTTGAAAAGAGTAGGACACGACTGAAGTGACTTAGCATGCATGCATCTATATAAGAAAGGCAGGTAGACGCCTGACAAACACAGAGAAGAGGAGAAGGCAATGTGACCATGGAAGCAGAGATTGGAGAGATGAGGCCACAAGCCAAGGGATGCCCGCAACCACCAGAAGCTGGACAAGGCAAGGAACAGAGCCTCCAGGGAGAGCAAGGCCCTGCCATACCTTGATTTCAACCCACAAAGACACTGATTTCAGACTCCAGATTGTGAGAGCATTAATTGTTTTTGTTTTAAACCACCAAAGTCATGGTTATTTGTTAAAGCAGCAAGAGTAAATAGTGACTTAGGTATGCCTTTAGTCACCTGATATAACTGCACTTGACAGGAAGTGATTCTAACACGGGACCAAGAGATTTACTCAAAAGATAAAACACACCATATTTTCCTTTGCCAAATGCTTCGCAACAGACTTGAAAATATCAAGTTCTTCCATTGTATTTCTTTTCTTTTTTTTTGACATAGGACGGCATATGGGATCTTAGTTCCCCGACTAGGTACCAAATCTTCAACCCCTGAAATGGAAGTGTGGAGGACCACACTGAACCACTATTGAAGCCCCTCCCATTGCCTTTAAAATAAGCAATTTATAAAAGCAAATTTGGGGAATTCCCCGGTAGTCCAGTGGTTAGGACTGGGTGCTTTCACTGCCAGGGCCTGAGTTCAATNCTGGATGGCATCACCAACTCGATGCACATGGGTTTGAGTAAACTCCGGGAGTTGGTGATGGACAGGGAGGCCTGGTGTGCTGTGATTCATGGGGTCGCAAAGAGTTGGACACGACTGAGTGACTGAACTGAACTGACTGAACTTCAAATCTCCAGCCCTAATGACTCCCTTTAATTTGACACTTGAATATCCATTTGCCTTCTCATCATTGTCACTTGGATATCCAACAGGCACCTCAAACGTAACATATCCGAAAGTGAAGCCTGTCCTTTTTTCTCTGACTTGCTTGTCCCTAGTCTGCTCCATTTTGGTAAGTGGCAACTCCATCCTTTCAGAGCTTGATGCAGACATGCTTCACCCTCCCCCCAACAACCAACCACAAATGCTACCTTGGCTGTGTTTTCAGATTATATCCAGGATCACGCCACTTCTTACCACTTCTACTGCCTTCACCCGCATTTTTCTCCCAGATTATTGCTGAACCTTTCTAACTAGTCCCCCAGCTTCTGCCCAACAGAAGATAACTTCTGCCCCACAAGAAACAGAGTGATTCTTTAATTATACTATGTAAATCAACACTTGCCATTCTGTTGCCCCAAACTCCATTGGCTCCCCATCTTACACAAATTAAAAACCAAATCCTGAGACTTCCCCAGCAGTCTGGTGGTTAAGACTCTGCCTTCCAATGCAGGGGGCACGAATTTGATCCCTGGTTGGGGAACTAAGGCCCCACATGCTGCTAGGTGTGGCCAAAAAAATGAAAAACAAAACAACAGCAACAAAAAAACCCCAAGCCCTTCTAATGGTCAAACTACCCTAAATCTCATCTACAACTCTCACCCTTACTCATTCTGGTTTTCAAACAAGCCAGGCATGATCTGACTGCTCTCAGCTCAGGGGTCCTGCTCCAGCTACTGGCTGGAATCTTCATGTCCCAGCGACCTGTGAGACTTCCTTACTAACTTCAGGTCTTGGCTCACTGGCCATGCCCTCCTCGACCATCTCCCAAGCACTATCACACCCAGCATGTATTTACATGTCGATTTTCTGTCTTCCTCCCCATTAGAATGTTCACTTCACAAAGGCAGGAACTGTGGGTCAAATAAGTGCACAGTCAATAAGCTTAAAGTGTCAGAAATGCCAGATATGAAAACAGACATACCAATGCAGTAATTAATATATAAGCACATTATTTTCAATAATTAGTATCACAATATGCATTACTGTGATTCTTTCTGAACAAACTTTTGTTTCCAGTCAGTATTTCTCTCTCCATTTTATGTACCTTAGTCTTCCATTGCCAATTTTTCTCTTCTGAAACCAAATTCTTTCTTACAAAGCCACAAATTTAATCTCAGACTCACTCAAATAATAGATTTATAGTCTGTCTATAATACAGTACTTTTACCTATTTTCTCTGCCCATTACTCAGACTTTTATTGAATTCTTTCTTTAATATTTATTGATTTATTTGGCCACGCTGGGTCTTAGTCATGGCATGTGGGATCGTTAGCTTTGGTATGGAAACTCTTAGTTGTGGCATATGGGATCTAGTTACCTCACCAGGGATCAAATTTGGGCACTCTGCATTAGGAGGGTGGAGTCCCAGCCACTGGACCATCAGGGAAGTCCCCTGATTTCCTTCTTTATTTACTTCACTTGAGTTTTTTGGTTTCCTTTGCCAGCTTTTCCTTAGATTTCAACTTGCTTTTGTTTTCACTACCTCCAATCCCAGCAAGGAAGGGCTTCAGTTTGGCATGGAGCCAACTAGACTTTTCTCCACATATTTAGCTCTTCCACAGTCCTATTTTTTGAGTTCTGTAAATTATAAATCTCTTTAGTCCATCACACCTTTGTTACTTTTTGTCTTTTCAAGCAAAGGACAGACCTCCAAATCCTTTTGTCTACTCTAGTCAAAGCAACTGCCCTCCAAATGCAGAACCAGAAAACATCTTACCCTAGTGTGTCTCAGTGGGCGTTAGAGTGTGGTTTAGAAATCTGTAAGGGGATTTGGGGTTGCCACAATCACTGGGAAGGAGGAGGAGGATATCAACATGTAATTATGATGTTCAACAACCTCAATGCAACAAACCTACACAATAGAATATCATCCCACATTTCATCAGACGTTTTGACATCCTGCCAGACAGTTCCTTATGTATCTGAGGCATAAGCTCAACTCCACTATACATATGTCAAGCTATTTTTCATTTTGAAGTTTTAACACCCACTAAAAAATTTCAAAGATTTCTGTGTGAAAAACAATGTAAGATAATACTTTGATATACACAGAACTTCACCAAGACGTTGTACACTAGGTTGGAAAAGTCATGCTTGGGGAGCCAACAGAACACACCTGTGGCAGCTGTAACATTTGCATTTAGTAATCGTGTCGTATATGTGTACAAGCAAATGACTACTTCTTTGTGTTTCTACTGTAGACATGTTTTCGCCTTTATATTTTGAAATATATCATTATCTTGCTGTTTTGCAATGTTTCTCCTTTACAGCTAGGATGTTTTCTTGATTTTTTTAATAGTTATGTGTGTAGATGGGTTATATTATCCATGATTTTCATTATAGAACAGTAGGGAAAAAAGGTCTATTCAGCACATATAAAGAGAGGTTGGTGCTGATGAAACTAAGAATCACTAACATAACTGCTGACCACTCAAAGATTTCCCATTTGCTTTCCAAGCTACTGTTGACACTTGGACCATACTACACACAACCTCATTCTCACTTTCAAGGATCTGAAGCCTTTTTTTTTTTTTTTTAGGGGGTCNGGCCGAAGCAGGGGGACATCAAGGGACGCTCTGGCGGGGACCATGGCGGACGGCGGCTCGGAGCGGGCTGATGGGCGCATCGTCAAGATGGAGGTGGACTACAGCGCCACGGTGGATCAGCGACTTCCCGAGTGCGAGAAGCTGGCCAAGGTGAGGGGAGGCCGGCTGGTTGTTGGCGGGCGCCAGGGGCTGAGTCACGGCGCCAAGCTTGCTTAGGCCTCAGGGGGCCTCCGGGCTGGAGCGCGCATCCCGCTGTTGTCTGTCCGGCACGAGTTAGGCCTGCATAAGCAGGACATCCCAGGTCTGCCCGACCAGGGAGACCCCGCAGCCGGACTCCCGTAGTACTTCCAGCTTCCCAGACCCTCCCCAGGACAGATGGTCACTTCATTCCCGTAGAAGTTGGGGCTCCAGTAGTATTTTTTTTTTGCCTGAAAAGGCAAGTTTTCTTTAGTAGTTCCTCGGGGTTTAAGGCGGCTTCAGCATTCACGGTAGATCAGAGAGTTTAGTTCTGTCGCTCTTGCCCAATCAGTTTCTCTTGTTAAGTTGCGGACGGATCGTGGCGATGTGCTTGGCCTTTGGCCAGGAGAAGGGACGGGAAAGTGATAGTACGAAGGGGATTAATACAGGACCCCTGTCTTAAGGAGTTCGTGTATACAACGAATTAGACGAGTCGCGCATGCTAGTGAGTGCCAAAAGAGTATGAAAGTGTTACTGAAAAACAGAAGGAAATTGCTCGCTGTTACTGGTGATTTAAAGAAGGCTTTTTCAGAGAAGCTGACGTTTGTATTAGATCTTGAAGAATGAGTAATATTGGAATGGGGAGGAGTCATCCGAGGAGCGGGTACTTCGCGAGTGAAGACAGACAGGCACAAAAGTACAGAATAACATGATTGGCGGAGGTAGTTTAGCCCAACTGCTTATCTCCCATGAAATAGAAATTTTACTTCATCCAAGCATTTATCATGTCCCCACTGCTGTGTGTCAGGCAACTTCGTGTATGTGTGTAAAGAAACCAAGACTCAAGAGTTGTCGTCGATGGTTACAGTTAGTAATAGGTAGAACCAGGGATTTAAACCTAGGTTTGCCTGACTAGGGTTTGGATGGTTGTTACATCAGTTCCATATAGGAGGTTGTTAAGGATTATGCTCAGGCCTCCTTAAATTCTTTGATCAATCTAGCCACAAGCATTTATCGCAGTTCATCTGGGATGCATTCACTAATAGAGTTGTTTTTGTCTATTATGGAGCTTTCTAAGTACATTAAAACAGAATAAATTCAAGGGCAGGAGGAGTGTCAAATAATACTTCACCGTTAATTTTTAGAAAGAACCCTTTTAATGCTTCTCTTATTACCAAAAAAAAGAATGTAGTGGGGCTTTAGAAAAGTCAGGGATAGGAAAAGGTGATGAAGTTGATAGACCTGTATTTCTTTGGTTCAGTACCCTAAGTGGAAGGGAACCATAAATTCATCTCTGAGCTTTCTAGCTGCTAGTGTAAAGAAACATCACCAGTTACATAGAAGTTGGAAAACTCCAACTCCAGACACCTCCAGAGCCGGACAGATAATCGCTGACATTTATTGAGTGCTTTCTGCAGTGCCAGCCACTCTTCTAAGTGTTTGTTTACACGTGTTAACTCATTGATCTTCACCATAGCCCTGTGAGGTCCACATTATTATCATTAGTATTTCACAGACAGGAAAACAGTCTAGGGGAAGTTAAGTCACACGCTCCAAAGTCATACCAGTAGTAAAATGATGGATCCAGGATACAGACCCAGGCACACTGACTCTGGAGTTTCTGCTCCCACTGAGCTGTCCTGCCCAGTGAGCAAAGTGTAGTGAAAAGCTGAACTTCTGAGCACCTGCTCCGGGAAAGGGGACAGGAGCTCTGCACCTTAGGCTCAGCTTTGCCAATGGAGAATGAAGGCCAGGCCTTGTCAGCTCTTATTTGTGGGAGTGACCAGGAATATGGGGTTTTGTATGAATTGCCTCTATATTTAGAAACTGGACACTAAACTGTTTTGAAGCACGTAGGCAATACCATGTAGATCAAACAAAACATATGTTCAGTCCAGAGTCAGCCCCAGAACCACCTTTTTGGAATTAATAGATTGGTAATGTCCATAAAGAAGCAGCTAATTGTTCTAAAGGAGTACAGCTATTCCTAGAACTGAGACGAGAGTGAAAGGAAACCTTCCCCTTACCAGTCTCTTCTGATAGCCTACTGTGTGCAAGACCCAGTCAGTGCTAGACATTGTGGACAGTATAAAGATGAGTGGATAAAACTCTTGCTCTCAAATCACTTATAGGCCAGTAAGAGAAAAAAAATAATGTTGCTGCTACAGTTGTTCCAGTGGTCAGTGTATGGCATTTATTTACAACATTGTGGTTATGTTCAAGATAGTTGAATAGATTTGCAAATTCAGATGCCAACTGGTTTTTTTAAGGTATCAAGTAGATGATGGAAATGTTTGAATCAGGGAATATTGGGACATGTTAAAAATTAGAGCCATTTTGGCTTTTCTTTTAAGCCACTGTGCCTGTTGAACACAACAAGGTGTAGATATGAATTTTCTTTGTGGGGAGGTGGGGCAGGGGAAGAGGGCTGGGGCATAGGGGGTAGAAGGTTTTTTTTAATACACCACAGTTTTCAACTTTTGGATTAGATAGTTGTCTTAGTTTTTTTAGAGTATGTTTCTCTGTTTTGCTTTTTAGTCATCATTTTATATTATTTTCTAAGCATTCTGCTAATCATGAAATAATACTTCAATCATTGCATTTCTACATTGGAATGCATGGACTATTTTAGCATACATTCTTTAATATAATTTCACTTATTTATATATTTTTTTGGCTGTGCTGGGTCTTCGTCGCTCTGTGGGTTTTTCTCTCAGTTACATAGAGCAGCGGCTACTCTCTAGCTGCAGTGTGCCGACTTCTCGTTGGGGTGGCTCTCTTGTTGCCCCGCATGGGCTCTGGAGCCCGTGGGCTTCAGTACCGGGCTCTGGGGCCCGTGGGCTTCAGTACCAGGCTCTGGGGCCCGTGGGCTTCGGTGCCGGGCTCTGGGGCCCAGGCTCAGTAGTATCGGCTCATCGACTTAGCTGCTCTGCGCATGTGGGATCTTCCCAGATCAGGGATCGAAGCCGTGTCTGCTGCATTGGCAGGTGGATTCTTGACACAGAGCCACCAGGGAAGCCCTAGCATACATTCTTATGGTTTTCGTTTTGAACCCATCAGTAAAGCTGAAGGGGGACTTCCCTGCTGGTCCAGTGGTTAACATTTCGCCTTCCAATGCAGAGGGTGCAGGTTTGATCCCTGGTCGGGGAGCTAAGATCCCATATGCCCTATGGCCAAGAAACCAGGACATAAACAACATGAGCAGTATTGTAACAAATTCAGTAAAGACTTAAAAAGAAAAAAAAAAACTGAAGGAAGTTTTGTTATCTTCACTTCTGAGAAAACTAAGGTTCAGGTAGATTCAGCAGTTATCCAAGGTCTAGAGAGGTCTCCTGGCAACAGTTAACAAGTGTTCTTTTTGCTGTGTCCCATGGCTTCTTTAAGAGACTATCAGTTCTGTGTTTAAGACATTTTATAAATATGAAAGACAATTTAAGATAAAAAATTACGTGTGTNTTCCCCCCCCCACTTTTGGATTACCGTGTATTTGACACATGGTTATTTAGGGATTACTTGTATTCTTAAATCAAATATATCCTTTGTTTCTCCCTCCTCTTAATGTCTTTTCATTTCTTTTGGTCACCTGCAACTTCTCATGGTTAATACTAAAAATAAAGAGGAGGTGAAATGTGAAACAGTTTTTTGATTGTCAATGACTTGGACAAAAGACCCCTTCAAGAAATAGGTCATTTAAAAGTATTGGATTGGCATTACACTTCAGTTATTTGTGGTTAACATTTTATTAGCCTTTTCTTATTTAGGTTGTTTAAGGAGTCATTAAAAGATCGGGTCATTTAGGAGTTAAAGGACACAAACATACAGAACATACAGATCCCCAACATGTATTGATGTTGAACAAACTCCTTAGTCATTTACCTCACTGACAAGGATTATTTTAATAAGGAAAAGGAGTCATAAGAGTCACATGTTCTAACAAGTTGGTTTTGGTAGCTCTAAACCATCTTGTTCTTCGGAGTTGAAAGGCAGCATCTAGGAGGTAGGATTGCAAGGATGACGTGTGACTAGACAGGAAAAGAAGGAGGAAGATGTTTAACCGTAGGATTGAACATGGAAGACTGGGTGAGAAGTGGGATGGTTTGAGAATTGGGAGTTGCATTTAATGAAATTGATGATAGTGTCCCTCAGCACTGAATTGTCAGCTATATAATTTGTCACATTCTACTTACTGTAACAGTAAGAATCAGGAATTGTAAGCCAAGATCAAATGAATAGTTCACGTCAACGTCAGTTCATTCGACACATGCTATGTGCAAGTTGGTGCAAGAGACACCATCAAACAAGGGCATATGTGTCCAACTCTTTAAGACCCCTGGGACTGTAGCCCGCCAGGCTCCTCTGTCCATGGGATTTTCCAGACTGGAGTGGGTTGCCATTTACTTCTCCAGGGGATTTTCCCGACCCAGGGATTGAACGTGAGTTTCCCATGTTTCCCGCATTGGCAGGCAAATTCTTTACCACTCAGCCACCTGGGAAGCCCCAATCAGACAGGTGTTAGCCATTTTGTGGTGTCTGACTCTTTGCAGCCCCATGGAGTGTAGCCCACTAGGCTCCTCTGTCCATGGAATTCTCCAGGCAAGAATGCTGGAGTGGGTTGCGATTTCCTTCCCCAGGGGATCTTCCCAACCCAGGAATCGAACCCAGGTCTCCTTCTTTGCAGACAGGTTCTTTATTGTCTGAGCCGCCAGGGAAGCCCCAGTCAAACACGGTCTAGCCCTGAAGGAACTTAAGAACACTTTGGAGNAGGTTCTTTATTGTCTGAGCCGCCAGGGAAGCCCCAGTCAAACACGGTCTAGCCCTGAAGGAACTTAAGAACACTTTGGAGACATGCTTATTAATTACTGTGGTGCAGGGTGTAAAGGGATGCACCAGCATTCCTACAGAAGCACCACTGCAAGTTTGGGCAGGTGCAGAGCACTGAGGCACAGCGGTGAACGGTATAGACAGAGCCCCCTGCTCTTACTGAGGACCTTCTAGTGAAATTAGGAAGATGGTGAACATTAAGATGGAAAAGACTTTGGGGTTATCACCTGAAAAAAATGCACAACCTTTAAGTTGAGAATTATGTCTTAATTGGGGGCATTACTGAGGACTATCGCCCAGGAAAGCAGCCACTCAGATATCTCTGAGAGCCTGTTCCAAAAAGATAAGGGAGGAGCCAGAATGTATAGGAGTTTTGGCTGGGGGAAAAAAGAAAATCAAACATGTAGTTGAACATCAAATGATCATTGCTAATCACAAAAACAGATAGCTCAAGTTAATGATTTTAGAGTTTTTCTCTGTAGGGGAAGATGCAGGAATCTGAGCTTATTGAAATCATTCTTTTGATATGTTATCTTAACTATCTAGGGCCAGTATCCTTTAGTTCAGGGAGGTGCTGGTCTTTGTCCACAGAGTCAGTGCAGACTGGGAAGTCAGGGCTGCCGTGTTAAAGGGGGTGCCGAGTGACTGACTAGAGAGCACGATCCAAGAGTGCCCTTCTGAGAAGGGGGCAGTGACATTTCATGTTTCATTGATAACGTAGACCCCAGCCCTGGAGTGGTATGTGATTCCTTCCTGTATATGGTATAGTTCTTTAAAACCGTATTTCTGAATTAAAATACCACATATAGTCAACTGTATTCTGTGGATCACAGTCATGTGACTAATAGTAGTCACAAAAGCGACAAGAGGGTAACATTAGTAAACAGTATTTTGCATTTTAGCTATTCTTGCACTGTTTTGTTGCCGAATAGTAACCATTTCCCTGTGGAAACTACAGTTGACCCTTGAACAACACAGGTTTAGATTCTTTGATTTTTATGATTTATTAGCCTTTAGCTTTGGAGAATTTATAGCCCTGTTCTTTGTTCTTCTGCTCTGATGGACAGAAGCATTTAGCCAGCATTTATTGTGTACAGTAAATGTACATGAGCCTATACAGCTTTCAGAACTGGTGTTCCCCTTTTCAGATTGAATTAATAAATTCATACAGTGGCTATACAGTACATTTTGTGTGCTGCATGGAAAATTCATATGGAAAATATGGAAACAATATTTTGAAAAGTTTAAACATTATTTGTGCCCTTAATTCAGAAGTTTAGTTTCTTTCATCAGTAAAAGCTTCCCTGGTGATTTAGAGGTAAATCTGCCAACGCAGGAGATGTGGTTTCCATCCCTGATCCAGAAAGATCCCACATTCCGCAGAGCAACTAAGCCAGTGGACCACACCCCTTGAGCCTGTGCTTTAGAGCCTGGGAACCACGTGCCACAGCTCCTGAAGTTAGAGCACTGTAGATAGAGCCCGTGCGCCAAGACCGGAGAAGCCAGGGCGCTGAGAAGCCTGCCGCCACGAGGGGAGAGCCTGCGCCGCCGCCAAGGCCCGGCCCAGCCCGTGAAAGGGCAGCGGGCCAGGACTCACGTGTCGTCTATGAGCGTCACAGCCCGTGAAAGGGCAGCGGGCCAGGACTCACATGTCATCTATGAGTGTCCTTAACATAAAAATAAATTCCCTTCACGGTTAGAAAAGCAGTTACAAATGAAGCCCTCCTCATTACTTCTAGTTTATTCAGTGTCATTAATACTATTACCTTAAATAAATCCAGTCTTTGTGCTGTGGGTTGGTTTTGTTTTTATCAAAATGTGTGTTTCCTAATATGATGGCTTATTTTAGTCCTGGTGTATTTTTATCTAGGTTTATGTTACTTGAATTTTGTTATTCTCATTTCTTCATGTCTGCCCCAGGGAGAATGTTTTGTTTTTACGTGTGAGGTGGAGGTTGCTGTTGGCTCAAGACTGGGTATAGCACGCACGGGGAATCTCCGGTGGGCTTCGTTACTTTACTTCTAAAGTCACTGAAAACTTAAACCAGCGTTTCCTATCTTTTTACCACCAAATATCCTTTTTACTTCTCAGAACTCCATGTTTTAAAATATTTTTGATGAATTTAAGGCACAGGTGGCTGTCAGTTAAGAGTCTCTGTTCAGAACCAGATAAACAGGTGTTACCACTCTGACGTGATGAATTAGAATCCAAAACAAAGACTTGATGTTTTCTTGGGTGTTAAATCATTGGTTTAACTAGATTTCATTTCTCCTAGGCATTTAGAAATGTTAAAAATAGCTTGTGGGCCCCATGTTGGGAACCACTGACTTCTGGAATCCTCTAGAGAAGCAGGCAGTATCATGAAAGGGAGAAAAGGACACACAGTTGTGCAGGTGGTCTCTTTGCTCTAAGATAGACTTTACTGTTTAAATTTTGTCTTTACTGTTTCAGAAACGCCTCATGTTAGACTAAATTATTTGGCTTTGTGTTGGTGGTGGTGTTTTTATTGCCCATTTACCTTTTGTTTTAGGAAGGAAGACTTCAAGAAGTCATTGAAACCCTTCTCTCTTTGGAAAAACAGACCCGAACTGTGAGTAGATTGTAATGAAAACCTCAGTTGCCATTAATTTCATTTGACACTGTTCCATTAACTTTCAGTGTATTTTCATTCTCACAGGCTTCTGATATGGTGTCCACATCCCGTATCTTGGTTGCAATAGTGAAGATGTGCTATGAGGCTAAAGAATGGGATTTACTTAATGAAAATATTATGCTTTTGTCAAAAAGACGGAGTCAGTTAAAAGGGGAATCTCCGGTGGGCTTCGTTACTTTACTTCTAAAGTCACTGAAAACTTAAACCAGCGTTTCCTATCTTTTTACCACCAAATATCCTTTTTACTTCTCAGAACTCCATGTTTTAAAATATTTTTGATGAATTTAAGGCACAGGTGGCTGTCAGTTAAGAGTCTCTGTTCAGAACCAGATAAACAGGTGTTACCACTCTGACGTGATGAATTAGAATCCAAAACAAAGACTTGATGTTTTCTTGGGTGTTAAATCATTGGTTTAACTAGATTTCATTTCTCCTAGGCATTTAGAAATGTTAAAAATAGCTTGTGGGCCCCATGTTGGGAACCACTGACTTCTGGAATCCTCTAGAGAAGCAGGCAGTATCATGAAAGGGAGAAAAGGACACACAGTTGTGCAGGTGGTCTCTTTGCTCTAAGATAGACTTTACTGTTTAAATTTTGTCTTTACTGTTTCAGAAACGCCTCATGTTAGACTAAATTATTTGGCTTTGTGTTGGTGGTGGTGTTTTTATTGTCCATTTACCTTTTGTTTTAGGAAGGAAGACTTCAAGAAGTCATTGAAACCCTTCTGTCTTTGGAAAAACAGACCCGAACTGTGAGTAGGTTGTAATGAAAACCTCAGTTGCCATTAATTTCATTTGACACTGTTCCATTAACTTTCAATGTATTTTCATTCTCACAGGCTTCTGATATGGTGTCCACATCCCGTATCTTGGTTGCAATAGTGAAGATGTGCTATGAGGCTAAAGAATGGGATTTACTTAATGAAAATATTATGCTTTTGTCAAAAAGACGGAGTCAGTTAAAACAAGTGAGTTCATGATTGATCGGAAACAAGTACATTCAAATTTGAATAAGGACTTTTAGAAAAAGAAAACCTTTCTACAATCTGTTTTAAATCTAACAATGTTAAGTCAATATTGCAACATTTAGAGTTTTAAAAAATTCTGTCCATGTTCTCATGACAACTGCTTTTATTTTTTTTTCTTCTAGTCCTTATGTAGTTGCATATTTTTACAAAATTGCTTTGAGAGTGTTGATGCAGCTTTCTTCTAGTTCCTTGTAGCTCCTTCATAGTTGTTATTTTAAATGGCTGTGTTATAATCCATCAAGTTGATTAATTATAATTTACTTAATCATGTCTTTTATTTAGACAGTTAATGTGTATGTTACTTTTGAGGCAAGATACTTTGTTTCCTTTTCTGCTATCTTTAAATATGCTGAATATAATTTAACATTTTCCTGATGACAAGAGTCCTTATTATTATTATCAATGATTATGCTGTGCCATTTAGAATCTAGATTAGGGGTTGGCAAACTATGGACCAAGGACCAAATTCTCCATGCCACCTTTGTAAATAAGTTTCGGGGGCCAGAGCCACACCCATCTGTCATGTATCTGTGAGTTTACCAAGACAGAGCAGAATTGTTGCTACAGAGACCCTTTGGCCCACAGAGTCTAAGTACTTACTGTGTAAATATTCATAAAAATATACAGAAGAGGTTAGCTGACCCCTGACCTAGATCATGGACAGTCAGAGCTGCAAAAAATATAGTCCAGCCTGCTTTACTACCTGTCTGGGAACTGTGGGCAAGAGATGCTATGCTTCTCAATGTCACATTTTATTGGGGTGAGCATGGCTGGCTGTAGCTCCTTCTCTCTACCCAGGTGATGGGACTGTTGTTTTATCTTCTGCTTCTGCCACTGACTTTTTCATGGCTTCTTTGCTATCACGGCTACTGTTAAATTGTGCTTTTCTCTTTCCCACACCTTTAGTCTGTTGCCACTTCTTCCATACTTTTCTTCTTGGCTGCAAGAAAACTAAATAGCTAGCCTTCTGGTAGACATTACCAGACAATCCTCTCTCACCTGTCCTTTTGTGTGATCAGCTCGCCAGTTGTAAAGGGGGGTAAAGTCTTTGCGACTGACGTTTTCCTGTCCTTTATTGATTTGTTACTGAGTATTCAGTACTTCTTACCTAAGGGAGGTTTTTTTGTTTTTTGTTTTTGTATATAGGCATTTCAGTATATAGTTTCTTGGGAGATCAAATTTGACTACAGCACTTCCATAAATAAAATATTTCCTTTTCCTGTGTGAGAAATGAACTTCACTTGTGAATGAATTTTTTTATTTTAGGCTGTTGCAAAAATGGTTCAACAGTGCTGTGCTTACGTGGAGGAAATCACAGACCTCCCCGTCAAACTTCGACTAATTGATACTCTACGAATGGTCACAGAGGGAAAGGTGAGTTTTCTGTTAGTGTAGCTCATAGTGAGGTAAGTGCTGTCCTACCTGTAATCAGAGGTGCTTACTTATTTAAACATTTTATTTAAGTACATATGTATGTATTTTTGAGATGAAATCCACCAAATGTCATTACCATAATTTAACCCATACCTTTGTACATCCAGTGTCTTCCCATATGCCAGTGAATATAAATAGTGACAGTCTTAGTATATCCAGATTTTTCTAGAAATTAGTCATCTTACCCCAATTTTTCATTTGCTAATATTAAACATAAGGTTATTTCTTCATGTCACCTAGATCTGCTTGAGAAATCTTTGTTTGGTGTAGCTGAGGTTTCATAGAGTGTTGCAGTGTGAGATTAGTTTTCAAAATTTCACTCTTTTCAAAACGTATTTATATTTTTTTGATGCCTTCCCCCCACCTCCCCAGCCTGGTCTGTGTTTCTCTAAAAAGGGCAAGTATGAAATGGTGACTCTGGTAGATACATTTCTTCCTAGGTAGATTTTTGTGGTTTGAAGACAAAAACTTAGTTTTATATCTAACTTATTGCCTCTCTTGACAGTTGAGTTCATTAAATATTTATTGGTCACCTGACTGTATTGTGCGAGGTCCAAAATGGGCAGGACACTATTTTTAATGTCAAAAGAAGTCAGTCATAGAAACAGTTACTGTGCTGGTCATGACAGTAGCAGGGTGTTCCTGCAACACAGAGGTGAGGATTGACTGGCTGAGGACCTCAGGAAAGCCTCAAAGAGTTGATGGTGGCTCACCTGGCTTTTTAAGAATGAATACTAATTCTGGGACTTCCGCGGCATCCAGTGGTTAAGACTCCATGCCTCCACTGCAGGGGGCACAGGTTCAATCCCTTGTCGGGGAACTAAGACCATCCCACACACTGTGAATGGCACCCAAAAAAGAATGAATCTGCTGGGCCAGGATGTAGGGAGGAGGGCATTTTAGATACAGGGGAAGTTACATGCAGAGACAGCAAGGGAGAAATTCTTAACACATCTAGGAAACTCTAAGCATTTTGTTACCATTTGAGATAAGGTTTTGGGAGTGAGTGGGGAAAGGGGTTGTTGCAGAGAAAAGGCTAAGCAAGTCAACAAGCACAAGCATGAAAATTAGTGCCCTAGACTCTGTTAGGCTATAGTTATATTTTTAATGCTTCACTTGTTGGAAATTATAAACCAAACATTTCATATAGCTATGAAAAATGCTAGTAACTTTTAATAGTGTACAAGGTCAGATATTTTTAGAGAAAGTAGCCTTGCATTTAAACAGAAATCAGAATGAGAGTATTGGTTGAATTACAGTTACTGGACTGCCTGTGCTCTTTGCAGAGTGTTATTTTTCAAATAATCTATTCTTTTAAAGGTACTTTCTGTGGCTCTGCTATTCTGTGGCACTGTCTTTGCTGTTTGGCCCTGTTATTTGTTAAGCACAGTGATTTCCTACTTAGGTTCTCAAATCAAAGGTGCAAAATATGGATAATGTTTTATAGAGATGTCGTCTTTAAAATTATGTGAGTGTAAAATGTTTGTATGAGGAAGATAAGTGCATGACAGCTACCAGAGAAATACCTTGTTTGATGATAGTTCAGTTCTGCCTTTTCAATTTTAACATGTTTCTGTAGGAATTTGGATAATATGAATTTCTTGTATTTGTAGATTTATGTTGAAATTGAGCGTGCTCGGCTGACAAAAACACAACAAGCACAAGCATGAAAATTAGTGCCCTAGACTCTGTTAGGCTATAGTTATATTTTTAATGCTTCACTTGTTGGAAATTATAAACCAAACATTTCATATAGCTATGAAAAATGCTAGTAACTTTTAATAGTGTACAAGGTCAGATATTTTTAGAGAAAGTAGCCTTGCATTTAAACAGAAATCAGAATGAGAGTATTGGTTGAATTACAGTTACTGGACTGCCTGTGCTCTTTGCAGAGTGTTATTTTTCAAATAATCTATTCTTTTAAAGGTACTTTCTGTGGCTGTGCTATTCTGTGGCACTGTCTTTGCTGTTTGGCCCTGTTATTTGTTAAGCACAGTGATTTCCTACTTAGGTTCTCAAATCAAAGGTGCAAAATATGGATAATGTTTTATAGAGATGTCGTCTTTAAAATTATGTGAGTGTAAAATGTTTGTATGAGGAAGATAAGTGCATGACAGCTACCAGAGAAATACCTTGTTTGATGATAGTTCAGTTCTGCCTTTTCAATTTTAACATGTTTCTGTAGGAATTTGGATAATATGAATTTCTTGTATTTGTAGATTTATGTTGAAATTGAGCGTGCTCGGCTGACAAAAACGTTAGCCACAATAAAAGAGCAAAACGGTGATGTCAAAGAGGCAGCCTCCATTTTACAAGAGTTACAGGTAAGGAGCTGCATTTTAGGGTATGTAAAATTTCCATTCAGTCAGCAGTATTTTCTTATAATTGCTTTTTTGGGCACCTTATTGCTTTTTTCTGAATCACCAAGATTAAGAGTGAGTAACTGTTTAAAAAGTTTTGAAGAAAAGTAAGATCGACAAATTAGTCTTAACTTTATGCTGTTATTTGAACATTTTAATTCTCTTTCGAACTTAAATCAGTAATTCATGTACATCTATCTGTGCCTTAGGAATTTACTGTTAATCATTGGCCCCCTCATTTTTAATGAATATCTGATTGGTGGTCAGTTTCTAGGCTACTGAGTCAAAGGAGTTAAGTAACTATAGTCACTGTCCAGAAGTGGTTGAGTTTGGAATTCACTCTAATTCTGTTTGACTTAAAGTTGCCCACCCCCACACACACACCTTTTTCTTTTCAAGTAAAAGACTTTATTTTTTAAAGCAGTTTTAGGTTCACAGCAAAACTGAGTGGGAAATTCAGAGCTTCCCCATGTATCCACTGCCTCACACCACACACCACCTTTGCTACTGTCAGCATCCCACATCAGAGTGGTACCTTTGTTACAGTCATTGGCCCTGTGTTGATGCATCATTATCACCCAGAGTGCATAGTTTTACATTAGGGTTTACTCTTGGTGTTGTACACTCTGTAGATTTGACAAACATAATGACATGTCTCCACCATCGTATCAATAGTATACAGAATAGTTTCACTGCTCGGGAAAATCCTCTGGCTCTGCCTGTTTATCCCTTCCTTTCCTAACCCTTGGCAACAACCAGTCTTTTTATTCTCTCCATAGTTTTGTCTTCAAACTCTGTTTTCTAAGCAGGAGAATTATATGCCTCATGATTCAGCATCCCTTGTGAAGTATTCGTGCCCAAAAAATTAATATACAAAGGTATAACTACCAGTTTTTAAGGTATACCAGGGACAGATGAGCCAGTTAACCACAGGAACACACTCCACAAACTTCAGACTCTAGGGAACTATAGGATGATTGACTTTATTTCTTCAATGAGTAAATTGCAAGGAAAAAAGAGACATAAGAAACATATCTACAGATTGTAAAGTATGAGCCTTATTTGGAGTCTTAGTTGATTAAAAAATAAATGAGACTATTGTAGAGTGACTAGAAATTTAATGATACAAAGAATTTTTATGTAAGAATTTTTTTAAGATTTATCTTTTATTTATTTTTTCATTTATTTTTTATTAGTTGGAGGCTAATTACTTTACAATATTGTAGTGGTTTTTGCCATACATTGACATGAGTCAGCCATGGATTTACATATATTCCCCATCCCGATCCCCCCTCCCTAAGGTTTAGCTTTTAGAGATACCATATTGAAATATTTATTTGTAATGTCTTGTCTGAGATTTGCTTCAAAGTAATTGACACACAGAGAGAGTGAGTGAAGATATATAAATGAAGCATTAATGGTTCACTGTGTGTGTGTGTTTATTTTCCTTAAGAAATTGCAAAGCAGAATTAGTGTATGTAGAGTGCTTAGCACAGTAAATGTTGAATAACTATTTTTAAAATTTACAAAGGAGAAGCAATGAAATAAAAAATTTTTAGACCAAATTATAGTAATAACAATAGCCTTTCTTCAGTCTACTTTGTAAAAGTGTCATTCTAGATTTTATAAATCATTTATAGTGTATGTGTGCCAGATATTAGGAACGTTTTCATAGTTCTTGATATAATTGATTCTTTTGTATAGTATATATCTACTACTACATTCATAAGGGGTCACATCAGACTTGTTATCTGAATTTTAAAAAGACTGATACCTCTTTTTTATATAATAGTTTCAACTATTATATAGTTAGGTTACAACTGACATCTTTTTCATTTTTAGAATTGTCATTTCTTCATTAGCCATTAGAAAAATGCAAATTAAAACCATGATAAGATACCACTACATGCCTATTCAGTTCAGTTCAGTTCAGTTGCAGAGTCGTGTGTGACTCTGCAACCCCATGGACTGCAGCACACCAGGCCTCCCTGTCCATCACCAACTCCCTAAGTTTACTCAAACTCGTGTCCATTGAGTCGGTGATGCCATCCAACCATCCCATCCTTTGTTGTCCCCTTCTCCTCCCACCTTCAATCTTTCCCAGCATCAGGGTCTATTAGAATAGCTAAAATTTTTTAAAAATTGACAGTACCAAGAGCTGGTGGCAATGCAAAGCAGTTGGAACTCTCAAAGATTGCTGATAGGATTGAAAAATGGTGCAGTCTCTCTGGAAAACAGGGTGGAGGTTCCTTATAAAGTTAAACATATGTTTATTGTATAACCTAGCAAACCCATCCTTGGGTACCCAAGAGAATGAAAAACTTATGTTCACAAAACTCTTTCACTAATGTTCAGAGTAGCTTTTTTTATGATAGGCAAAAGATGGAATCAGCCCAGATGTTTTTCAGCAGGGGAATAGGTAAACTGGGGTTCATCTGTGCAGTGGAATACTACTTAGTCATAGAAAGGAATGAACTCTTTGATTTACACAACAGCTTGAATGAATCTTATTTAAAGCATTATGCTGAGTAAACAAAGATAGTCTCAAAAAGCTGCATATTTGACATTCTTGAAAGGACAACTCTGTAGTGTTGGAGGACAGATCATTGGTTGTCAGGGGTTATGAGTAGGGGCAGTGTGTGACTGAAGGGGGCACATCAGAGTTACTCAGGTGACGGAAGTGTTCTAGGTTTTGACTGTAATGGTGACTGCAGAAATCTGTACATGTATTCAAATTTATAGAACTTTACACCAAGAGGAAAACATCCATTTTACCGTATAATAATTTTTTTTAAATTGTAATTTCCTGAAGGAAACTAGCTTTTTATATCACCATCAGCATTCTCCCAATATGCATGAAGTTTCTTATTTATCAAGTGTGAATTTTTAATGTCTATCTAACTTTGTTGCAATTGTAAACTATTACTAAACATTGTAAACTTACTTGGGCATTTACTCTGGTAGGTGGAAACCTATGGGTCAATGGAAAAGAAAGAGCGAGTGGAGTTTATTTTGGAGCAAATGCGGCTCTGCCTAGCGGTGAAGGATTACATTCGTACACAAATCATCAGCAAAAAAATTAACACCAAATTTTTCCAGGAAGAAAATACAGAGGTAAGCCTATCTCTTACTGTAAGTTTACTTTGAAAATGTTTGGGAAAGAAACCCACAAACCCCATTTTGTCAATATTTTACAGAAATTAAAGTTGAAATACTATAACTTAATGATTCAACTGGATCAACATGAAGGATCTTATTTGTCTATTTGTAAGCACTACAGAGCAATCTATGATACACCCTGTATACAGGCAGAAAGTGAAAAGTGGCAACAGGTAAGAATATATTCTTTTTTTTCTTTAAAGATAGTCTTAAACTTGATGTTGAAACTTATCAGGAAGAATTTGCATTTTTTATTTATTTTGAAATAATTTTAACTTCAGTAATTACATGCAGTTGTTTGGTGCTGCTTTCTGTTCATTGTGTTGATAGTTCACTTTAACATTATTGATTCAGATGAATTGTGGCAATTCTCTATTTATGACCTTTTAAGAAATGTAGGCTTACTGTTTAAGACATGTATAGCAGGTACCTTCTAACTGAGGTCACAGATAAAGATCCAGCATTACTTTAGAAAATTATTTTGCAAAACTTGTGAATAGTGTACATGTGGATTCCACCTTTTTACTGCTAACTTGTTATAATGACTTTTTCTTTTATACATTTGTTTTAAAAAATGTTTGAGGGAGGGATAATTTAGGAGTATGAGATTAACATATACAACAATTTACTCTGGTAGGTGGAAACCTATGGGTCAATGGAAAAGAAAGAGCGAGTGGAGTTTATTTTGGAGCAAATGCGGCTCTGCCTAGCGGTGAAGGATTACATTCGTACACAAATCATCAGCAAAAAAATTAACACCAAATTTTTCCAGGAAGAAAATACAGAGGTAAGCCTATCTCTTACTGTAAGTTTACTTTGAAAATGTTTGGGGAAGAAACCCACAAACCCCATTTTGTCAATATTTTACAGAAATTAAAGTTGAAATACTATAACTTAATGATTCAGCTGGATCAACATGAAGGATCTTATTTGTCTATTTGTAAGCACTACAGAGCAATCTATGATACACCCTGTATACAGGCAGAAAGTGAAAAGTGGCAACAGGTAAGAATATATTCTTTTTTTTCTTTAAAGATAGTCTTAAACTTGATGTTGAAACTTATCAGGAAGAATTTGCATTTTTTATTTATTTTGAAATAATTTTAACTTCAGTAATTACATGCAGTTGTTTGGTGCTGCTTTCTGTTCATTGTGTTGATAGTTCACTTTAACATTATTGATTCAGATGAATTGTGGCAATTCTCTATTTATGACCTTTTAAGAAATGTAGGCTTACTGTTTAAGACATGTATAGCAGGTACCTTCTAACTGAGGTCACAGATAAAGATCCAGCATTACTTTAGAAAATTATTTTGCAAAACTTGTGAATAGTGTACATGTGGATTCCACCTTTTTACTGCTAACTTGTTATAATGACTTTTTCTTTTATACATTTGTTTTAAAAAATGTTTGAGGGAGGGATAATTTAGGAGTATGAGATTAACATATACAACTACTATATATAAAATAAACAGGGATATATCATATAGCATAGGGAACTATATTCAATATCTTATAATAACCTACAATGGAAAGGAAACTGAAAAATAATATATAATACATATATATATATGTAACTGAGTCTGCTTTGTAACTGAAATTGTGCTCAGGCGCTCAGTTATGTCCAACTCTGTGACCCCATGCATTGTATCCCGCTCGGCTCCTCTGTCTGGATTTTCCAGGCAAGAATACTGGAGTGGGTTACCATTTCCTTCTTGAATACCTGAACCGAACACTAACTAGATCACTGTACTTCAATTAAAAAAAGAAAGAAGAAAAGCCAACCCAGGTAGTAATTCACGTTAGTAAAGATTCACTGTATTTGTTTTATAGTAGTTTTATGAAAGGTAAATATTACAAAAAGCCCTATGAAAAGATCAATCTGATAAGATTTTTCCCCTAAGACTTTTGAATACACTGTTAAAGATAAATATATAGTTATTCCATGAATTTTCACTTTCTGCCAGAGTTTTCATTTTGTTTCTAATCTTGCCTATATTCTGCTGCATTGTGCAACTTTTTTAGGCCCTGAAAAGTGTTGTCCTTTATGTTATCTTGGCTCCTTTTGACAATGAACAGTCAGACTTGGTTCACCGAATAAGCGGTGACAAGAAGTTAGAAGAAATCCCTAAATACAAGTAAGTACTTTTATAATTAGTATAGTATGTCTTGGTAGAAGTACCATTTTGAAAGACTGGTTAACCTAAATGTATGCTTCTTAATTGATTGCTGATAGATCATATTAGAGAATAAACAGAAAATAAAGTGGGTTTTTTTTGTTGTTGTTAGGACTACATTAGAAATTAACATAATGAGATTATAACATACTCCATTCTAAGCCACTTATCAAGAAGTAGTTTTATTTCAAGCTCACTTGAGCAGATCTTGTTTAATTAACTATTCAGTCGGTTTTATCATTAGTAAATGTTTGGGGCTTTGTGATTTTCAGAAGTACATGCTTCTGAAAATCTGTTATATAAAGCAGACATGGGTTTTATGCTCTTCTTTTAGCTGTTCCATTAGTAAGTTTACAGTCAGTTAGTCCAACAATTGGCAAACATAATACAGGAGAGAACAGAATGATAAGTAGGAGAAGGCACTGTTCAGAATTACTGTGGAAAAAATGGTAGCAAAGTTGGTAAAATAAATAATAGTCACCTCGTGTCTTGTTCTACAAACAAAGCTTTCTAAAAATCATCTTTGATAGTTTAAAATTTGCTATTATATTAGATGAAATGCAATCTTTACAGTTCTGGAATAGTAAGTTTTGTGTAATTTACAGGGATCTTTTAAAGCTTTTTACCACAATGGAGTTGATGCGCTGGTCCACACTTGTTGAAGACTATGGAATGGAATTAAGAAAAGGTTCTTTGGAGAGTCCTGCAACTGACGTTTTTGGTTATACAGAGGAAGGTGAAAAAAGGTGGAAAGACTTGAAAAACAGAGTTGTTGAACATGTAAGGATCTAGCATGTTGGAAATGACAATTTAGAAGCAAACTTTGACAAATTTGAGCTTAAACTTTTATTTCTCAAATGTTTCTTTTAGATGTTATATCTTTAATTCTTCAGGATTCTTTTTTTTCCCCTATGCCTAGTGTAGTAGTAATGTTAAGTTTGTTGTTCAGATGTTTGTTGTCTTATTTCCCAAGCACATCAGAATTTATCTTACCCCCTTGTCATTTTTTCCCCACCTCTTTTTAACTTTTCAGAAAAGATCACTATGTGTTACCATGCTGCATTTTGAGAGGACCCCTCATGAATACAAACTTTTATAGTATATAAACCAGAAGGAATTTCTTAAGAATGTGAGGGATGGATGGGGGTGGTTTCTCACTAGTACTGACTTGGTAGTTTTGGAAACAGGTAACATGTTTTAAACCTGACCTCTGATATTCTTGGGTGTCACTAAAAATTGAATTACGTAAACCTTCATTCACAGAACAAACGTTGAGCCTTCTCTGTGCTACACTGTACAAGGTGCTGGGACACATGGGAGAATAAGACATGGTCCCTACCTTTCAAATGTTTAAAAATGCATCACAGTGCAAGAGGCATTTATAAATTATGTATTATGGGTCCACGTATACATGGATGAGAGGGGAGCATGAGGAGAGAGTTGACTGGTTCCACCAGGTAGAATGGTCAAGCTGGAGTCACAGGAATTGATGTGTGAGGAAAGATTTGTGAGAAGGCTATGTAGGTTCAGTAGGCAGATGGGATAGTCTGCTGGTTCACAGAGGCAGCAGACCAGCCGGGGAACTTGGGGACCTCCAAGGAAAGGGCTCAGTGAGAAAGGACTTTGGAGATATGGAAAAGGTCTTGGTCATAACAAAGTTTGTACACCCAATAGTAAAAGCTAAGAGGATCATGACCAGCATGAATTTTATAGAGAATCCTCTGGGAGTAAGTGTGAAAAGTGAATTTGGAAAGAGAAAAGACTGTAGATAAGAAGACCAGCTAAGTAAGAGGGGCTTTGTGGGCTTGAACTGAGTGGATGGAATGGAATTAATGATTTTAAAGCAGACAGACAATCGAATTTGGTCATAATGAAAGGATGAAGGAAAAGCAGGGCGTCTTGAGTGATTATTCTTCCTGAGAGGTTGGTGTTACCATTGACCCTGATTAGTGATGGGAGGAGGTGCGGATGCTTGAAAGATGAGCTCATTTTTCTCCCCAGAACCCCATTTTTCCTTGTGAGTGCAGCTGCTTTGTTAGTAAGGTTAATGTTAAGAATAACCAAAGGGCACCTCTAATTTTAGCACCACTTCCAGTGAAAATTGGGAAATTTAATTCAGGTTATCTTTATGTAGTATGATGATAGTATTTTGAGATGATCTTTTTAAAATTTTAGCCTTTTTTTTTTTTTAAATTTTAGCCTTTTAAACATTTGTATCTTAGAAAAACTTTAGATTCTTACATTTAGCAAAAATATTTTAGTACAGTTACAACTTTTAACAACTAATTTAGCTAAGCCTGTGTTTTAACTATATGTATTTAAAAAGAGTTGTAGAGTGTGCTCAGAATAACTTAAAAATAACCACAGAAGCCAAAATATTGAAATATTTAGTTTTGTTGTTGACATTTAGAACCGGTTTCATTCCAGTGGCAGACAACAGCAGAATAAAAGCTCTGAGCCTTGACGTTTTAATTAAAGCTACTTGGATAGGAAAACAAACGAGCTTTTGGCCTTACTGATAGCTGTATCCTCCATACCTTTCTTCTTTCCTCAGAATATTAGAATAATGGCCAAGTATTACACAAGGATAACAATGAAGAGGATGGCGCAGCTTCTGGATCTGTCTGTTGATGTAAGTAGTACATACCATTGTTTGTGTAACCATTCATTTTGAAAATCAATTGACTTGTAAAAATTGAGTGAGCACATCAACCTCATTTTATTACCTTATTTTAAGTTTATGTGATAGAAGCTTCCCCCAAGCTATCTTGAACACCAAAGAGTAGCCTAAATACCAAGTTATAGTTACGTGAATATTATACTAGTTAACATCCTTACTCAAATATGTTAGTTTTACACTGATTAATTTGAAGTTAAAGTAGTATATATTTCTATAATAAATACATCTAGGTTCAAAAAGTGAAATGTAAAAATAAACCATATGAGGGAGACTTGACTGCAGTTCCCCTGGAAAGGTGCTAGGACATGTTAGGGGAATATTGTATTTGGGTCTGGGTTTCATGTTGGTAAAATGTACAACACCAAAGAGATAGGAGTTAGGCGAAGTGTATAGTCAACAGGAGGCATCCTGACAGTTTAACTGCAAACAAAGAAACTTGGAATAGTTTGGGTTAGAGGGCTTGATCCTTGGTTGGTTCATTAACTCTTCTCGTTTCTGGACAAGGGCACCAGAGGCCTTAGAAGTAAAGTGCCTTGTCCTTGGCTACCTAGTTAGCAAGTGGTAGAGCATATATTCTAACCAGTATTTCTGGAAACAGGCTGTATGATACTGCCTCCCTACAATGTGGGAAACATTGTAGAAGGTAGACCAAGTTGACAAAGGCTCTCGAACGGTACCCACAGTATTAAGTTTGTGGGGAGATTCAAACTGAGCCCTAGACTCTCAGTAAGGTAAGTACATTATTGCAGGAAATCAGTTTCTAACTATTAATAATGAATTTTAGCCCTGCATATTCTTGAATGAAGATACTAGAAAATACTTTCCTTAAATTTTATTGTCTAAATTATCATGTCTTAAACCAATTTGTCTTTCTCTCTTACAGGAGTCAGAGGCTTTTCTCTCAAATTGCACGTTTACTTTCCATGGTTACCCGTGTTTCTAAACATTTTGTGGGATAGTGATTTAAATGTGTTTTTTTAAAATAAAATAAATTTTGTTGTAAAGCTATCGATTATTTAGTAGAATTTAAAAGCAACATAGAACCTGTAAGAACATTTGGGATAAAGTTGTGATTTGTGAAGAATCTGTATTTTAGTATTGTGGCAGAAAGTCTCTAGATTGTGTACAGAGCTATCTGGTAGGCTATACACTCTTTTTTTATTTTTTTGAGTCAAGCTGTTTGAATTGCAGTAGTTTTATTTCCCCTTTCCCTGACTTGGCCAGTTGTTGAACTAACTGTATTAACTGTAAGTTTAATACACAAAGTCATTTTTCTAACTTTGAACTTCCATGTCTAATTACCTCATCAGTGCTCCAATTTCATTCTCTCCCTATAGGAACTTTAGTTCTATTACATGCACACTAGGTAACAAGCTAAAATGCATTAAAAATGACCCAAAAAAAGAGACTTCAGGGCACCCTCTTGGCAAATGATATAGTCTTGACACTTTAAAAAAAAATTATTAAAAGTAGCTTTATTGTCAAACTTCTGAGATCACTTACTATGAGCAAATTTTAGAAGTTTTAAAATTTGATTTCAGAGAAAATGGGGGGAAAAGGTTAGGTTATTTAAAATGTATCTGAAGAAAGTAAAAGGTCTTTTTTTTTTTCTTAACACAAGTGAAGAGGGGAAGGGAAAGACATTCTGGAAACAACAGTTTTCATAATTCATTTTCCATTTAATGGTCACTAAATTATTCTATTTCATGATCCCAGGACTGGGAACAATTGTAGAATCTTTATTATTTTTGTTGCGTCATTGTGAATAATAACATAGTATTTTATTCTTTAGAAATTTAATGTATTGGCCACATTAATAACATTTGTTATCACAAGTAGCTTAGATGGTAAAGAATCTGCCTGCAATGTGGGAGACCTGGGTTGGGAAGATCCCCTGGAGGAGGGCATGGCAACCCACCCCAGCATTCTTGCCTGGAGAATCCCATGGACAGAGTTGGACGTGACTGAGTGACTAAGCACAGCACACATCTTTAAAAACTAACCAGAAGTACGGCAAGCTCACAAACATTAGCATAGCACCAAGAATATAATTTTTAATTTTCTTTTGAAGGGAAGGGATGGGAAATAAAATCATTTTGTATTGTTAATTTGTAAACTGAATTGGAACTAACTGGCATATGTTCTCACTAACTTCATCTTTCTAGGGACTCATTCCCCTCGTATGTGCCAAACCTTGACTATTTGGCAAACTATATTGCTACAAAGATCTCAAGTGCTCCTCTCCTTTTTTTTTTTTAAATTTTAACATTCTCATCCTCAGACTAAGCTTTTTGTGTGTTCTCATTTGGGGCCACTTGTAACTGTGTCCCAGTGACTAAATCCCACTTGATTTGGTTAACTGTTCATCCATTTTTTTGTTTTTTCTGTCCAAGCAAACAAGAATTACTACCACTTTCTTAGGGTTAAAAAGATCCATTAGCCTAAGGCAGTAAAATATTTGGGATGTTTAGAACCTAAAATCCTGCCCCCCGCCCTTGCCCCCGCCAATTTCTGACCTAAAGCTGCATGCATGAAAAGGATNCTTGCCCCCGCCAATTTCTGACCTAAAGCTGCATGCATGAAAAGGATAGAACCACTTGGTTTGAATACTTGCCTTACTGTTTTCATTAGGTTACTAACCAGCAGGAGAGGTAACAGGGACTTTTTTTTAATGAAACACCTTTCACCCTTTTATTTCTATATAATTTATGCTTTCAATCATTTCTGTAATTATCTTCAATTTCCATATGCTTTTTATTGAATCAAACTCATCTCTAAAATTGATACTGTTCCATTCTGTCTCTTACAAGTACTAAATGTATGATAAAAGGATGTATTTTAAATTGTTTTCAGCTTCTGGATACAGCTGCAATAAAAGCACTAATTTGTGGTATTTAAGAAAACCTGGAGAATAAACTCATACTTTAAAAGATCATTTCTTTTTTCAATTCTTTTACTGTTTATAACAAAAGGCCACAGATAATTACCTTTTTTCTTTCAAAATCATGTTACCTCTCTAATCCTGCTTTTAAGTGACAAGAAGACATTTTGTACGTTGCAACTGGTTGGCTTTTCCCCCTGGATTCTTCCTGATTTGACATTGGTGACAGGCTGTATCTTAACTGTATTTTGACTAAGGGGTTTCTCACTTAGCACACCTGCAAATCACCTGCAAGGCGTGTTCCAACATGGATTGCTGGCCCCACCCCCAGAGTTTCTGTGACATTTAATCTTACAGTTCCAGTGAATTTTAATTTCTTAAGTTCTCAGGTGATGCAGATGCTGCTGACCCATGCACTACACTTTGAGAACCTCTCCTTGACCATACTTACAGTAAATGCTAGAAAAAAACCATGTTAGGAGTGCCGATATATGCTATGGTGAGGATGAACTTTGAAACGTGCCAAGTGAAAAGTCAGGTAGGAAAGATCATATATGGTATGATTCCATTACATGAAATACCCAGAACTGGTGAAGCCAAAAGAAGAAGAGCAAACTGGTGCTTTGCCAGGGGGAAGGAGGGAATGAAGTTACTATTTAATGGATAAGGGGTTTTAGTTTGGGGTGATAAAAATGTTATAGAACTAGATTCATGTGATGATTGTACAACCTTGTGAACGTACTATTTTCTACAGAATCACTTTGAAATGGTTAATTTTGTCGTGTGAATTTCAAGAGGTTTTTCTTTCTAAGGTAAGATCATGGCATATAAATGCAAAATATGCATATCAAAGATTTTATTCAACTTAGTAAGAGAACCAGTCAGATATTAAAACCAGTTCAAAGGGATATTTATATAAGAATAAAACTGCGAGCACTTCCCTGGTGGTCCAGTGGTTAAGGCTCTGTGCTTCCACAGAAAAGGGCACAGGTTCAATCCTTGGTCAGGGAACTAAGATCCCACATGTTGCGTGGCATGGCCAAAAGAAAAATTGTTCTGGCAGAAGAAAATTTATTTAGTTCAGAAACTTAGATCTACATCAAGACATGAATAGCACCAGTGAGAAATTTTAGAAGGATAAAAAAAATCTTATTCTCAAAAATAATTGTTTATTAAAAGCAATAATAACAACATACTGGGTGATCATAGCGTATGTATAAGTGAAATAAATGACAGCAATACCACAAAGGATGGGAATACTCTGATGTAAGTTACCTGTGCTATGCGTGGAGCAGGATCTTTTTATTTAAATGTGCACTTAATTTAAAAATGTATAGTGCAAGCTCTAAGGGAGCCACTAAACTGTTTAAAAGATATAATTAATCTACTACAAGAGAGAAAACGGAGTTGTAAAATGCTCAATTAAAATCAGAGATGGCAGAAGATGGAAGATAGAAAACAACAAATACAAAGCATAGAAAAAGTAACAAACGTGTTAAAAGTACAGAGATGGAGAAAAATACGCCATGCTAACACTAACCAAAAGCAAGCCGACTTATCTTTTATTAATTTCAGACAAAGCAGACTTCAGGTAAGATAATAAGGGATAAGAAAGAAAGAAAGTGAAAGTGAAGTTGCTCAGTCGTGTCCAACTCTTTGCGACCCCATGGACTGTAGCCTATCAGGCTACTCTGTCACGGGATTTTCCAGGAAGGGATAAGAAGGGGCATTAAATAATGATAAATGGACTAATTCTCCAAGAAAACAGTCTAAATCTATGCACCTAACAAAACAGTGTCAGTATGGGAAACTTAAAATATTACCCAATGTTTCACTTTATCCCAGGAGTACAACATTCCTAGATTCAAACTGTAAGCAGAAGAGTGGGTGGATGAATTTCAAGAGGTTTTTCTTTCTAAGGTAAGATCATGGCATATAAATGCAAAATATGCATATCAAAGATTTTATTCAACTTAGTAAGAGAACCAGTCAGATATTAAAACCAGTTCAAAGGGATATTTATATAAGAATAAAACTGCGAGCACTTCCCTGGTGGTCCAGTGGTTAAGGCTCTGTGCTTCCACAGAAAAGGGCACAGGTTCAATCCTTGGTCAGGGAACTAAGATCCCACATGTTGCGTGGCATGGCCAAAAGAAAAATTGTTCTGGCAGAAGAAAATTTATTTAGTTCAGAAACTTAGATCTACATCAAGACATGAATAGCACCAGTGAGAAATTTTAGAAGGATAAAAAAAATCTTATTCTCAAAAATAATTGTTTATTAAAAGCAATAATAACAACATACTGGGTGATCATAGCATATGTATAAGTGAAATAAATGACAGCAATACCACAAAGGATGGGAATACTCTGATGTAAGTTACCTGTGCTATGCGTGGAGCAGGATCTTTTTATTTAAATGTGCACTTAATTTAAAAATGTATAGTGCAAGCTCTAAGGGAGCCACTAAACTGTTTAAAAGATATAATTAATCTACTACAAGAGAGAAAACGGAGTTGTAAAATGCTCAATTAAAATCAGAGATGGCAGAAGATGGAAGATAGAAAACAACAAATACAAAGCATAGAAAAAGTAACAAACGTGTTAAAAGTACAGAGATGGAGAAAAATACGCCATGCTAACACTAACCAAAAGCAAGCCGACTTATCTTTTATTAATTTCAGACAAAGCAGACTTCAGGTAAGATAATAAGGGATAAGAAAGAAAGAAAGTGAAAGTGAAGTTGCTCAGTCGTGTCCAACTCTTTGCGACCCCATGGACTGTAGCCTATCAGGCTACTCTGTCACGGGATTTTCCAGGAAGGGATAAGAAGGGGCATTAAATAATGATAAATGGACTAATTCTCCAAGAAAACAGTCTAAATCTATGCACCTAACAAAACAGTGTCAGTATGGGAAACTTAAAATATTACCCAATGTTTCACTTTATCCCAGGAGTACAACATTCCTAGATTCAAACTGTAAGCAGAAGAGTGGGTGGTATGGGTAAGAGACGACCAAAATGTTAAGAGTGGATCATGAAAGGATAGAGTAGTCCATGAAACAGTATCATTAAGATGACTAATGTGTGAAGCTGATGTTTGATCAGGATTGGACTGTTACCAAATGCTTTTCCGCATCTATGAGATTTAAAGGGTTTCTCTCCAGTATGAAGTCTCTGATGTTGAGTAAGATGAGTGCTCTGGCTAAATGCTTTACCACATTTGCTGTGTTCATGAGGTTTCTCTCCGGTATAAATTCAGTGATGTTCAGTAAGGGATGAGTTTTCAGGGAAGTCCTTCCCACATTCACTGCATGTATAGGGTTTTTCTCCAGTGTGAATCCTCTGGTGTTGTGTAAACACTGAGTGGGCACTGAATGCTTTTCCACATTCATTATATTTATAAAGCTTTTCCTCAGTATGAATTCTCTGGTGTTGGGTAAGGTGTGTACTTCATCTGAATGCCCTCCCACCATCACTACACTTAACAGGGTTTCACTCCCATGTGAATTCTCTGATGTTGTGTAAGAGATGAGGTATCAGTGAAGGACTTCCCAATCAATGCATTCATAGGGTTTCTCCCCACTGTGAATTCTCTGATGATGAATAAAGGATGAGTAGTCACTTTCCTATATTCATTACATATATAAGGTTTCTCCCCAGTGTTGCTGTTCAGTGATGCTGAACAGATGAATTTACAGTGAATGCCTTCCTACAAATTTTACATTTACAGGGTTTTTCTCCAGTATGAGTTCTCTGATATTCAGTAAGACATGAATTCTGGATAAATGCTTTTCCACAGTCATCACACTTATGAGGTTTCTCACCAGTATGAATTCTTTCATGATAAAGTTTGAATGGTCAAATTTTTTCCAAAGTCATTACAATTATGCTTTCTTTTTAGAAGTTCTTTGACTTAATTGGAGATAAATTTCATTTGACATTTTTCCCAAATGGATCAAGTATATATATGTAGTTTCTCTTCTGAACAAGTAATATACTTTGGGATAAGTTTATATCTTAAATCAAAACTTCTCTCAAATTCATTAAAAGTATGCCCATTTTCCTCACAAGATAGTTTTCATGGGCAACTATTATTTGCTGGAAATCATTGGTTTGGGCGAGAGAGTTTTTTTTTTTTTTTTTAATTTTGCCTATAGAGTTCTCCTTCTGCTTTTCTATCTTGGCCTCAAATTCACAGATTCCTTCAAATAAATACCCTTTGGACACATCTCTGAGCCTTTCAATGACGACAGAGATGTTGCTGCTTACTCAAAAGTATATTCTACTGATCTCTTTGGGATCTGCTCTGGTCTTCACATCTGAGGGGAATAAAAAATTTATAAAAACATTTTCTGTCCTGGGGAACTGCATTCAGGATTAAAAAAAAATAACCTTACTAAAATTAGAATGCATGTTTACAGTCTTGAAATCTTGGAAAATAATAAGCCAGTGGAGTAGAGATAAATAGAGGCAGAAGTGCTGGGGAAGAAGCTGGCCCAACAGGCAAAGGCTCTGAAAGCTGAAAAAAATGTTTTAAAGATGTAGAAGTTTAACCTTCTCACTTAAAGATGAACACGTTTAGAACTAGAGAGGTTATGTGATTAACCTAAAGATACAGAAGTTATTAATGAGATGGTCAGATATAGAACTCAGGCTTTGTCCACTACACTACCACAATATCTGGAGACTGAACAGAGCTTAAATGAGAGAATGGACAGGTACCTCTTCAAAATACAAATAATGAAGGGGAAGCATAACAGTGTTAGAAAATGCAAAAGAATGAATGCTGTCAGAGTGACAGCACCTGGAGAGAAACCATTAAGGAATGTAAAAATAGCACCTGAAAAAGCAATGTACAAAGGAATAATCACTGAGGAAGGTCTAAATCTGAACAGAACGGCAGAATTTAAGGCATTAAGGAGAGCTCTTTGGATAACATTTTTGAGATCACATTCCTAAACATTCACCCCTAAGTTGCACATACAGATTTATCCCTCTCTGAATAAGTGCCTCTAAAGACATCAACATCTCACTAGATCTCCACAATTCTTTCCTGGGCTGAGACTAATTTCAGAAACTGAGAATTCTTCTAATTGGAAAAAAAAATACACAACAAAATAAAAACTGTCATTACTTAAATATTTTGAAATGTTTCAAGCACTATTAGTTTTTAAAAGGATATAATCTGAATCTCCCAAAAGTCTGTGTTGAAGGACAAAGACTGACCTCCAGTCAACAGAAAAGACAAGATACCATACTAGAGAAGATACAAAGTCTGAGGAGGTGTTATCAAACTGGTTGAAAATGGAAGGGCAGTATGACAAGGTGATCTAAGATCACAGTTAACATCTGGGTGGAATCATTAACTAGAGACAACAGCATTTTCACTGATCATAAACATAAGAGATGTTCTGGTACCAAGAGAGGTAAGGCACTAGAGAATTGTTCCTTTCTCTCTTTTTTTAACAAATACAAACCTCTGAGAAACCCAAATGAATAGTCACTTAAATTGTGGAAACCACTTTGCTTCCTTAATTAAAGATTTGCATACTCAATTTTCAGCAAGTGTTAAGAAATCTTGGAAAGGTGTAGATTATAGTGTACGGATAAATGCAAGTCCTTCACAAGGCCTCCAAAAAAACAACTGCTTCAAGTCAAATTTGGGGTTTCCAAGCAAACATTTTGGCAAAGGCTCACCGTCTAGGGGTTGCAGGTTGCAGTCCCGAGACTAAAATCTGGCCCACTGCACCAAGGCTGCTGTCACAACCAGGAAACTCTGGGTCCGTTCAAATCGTTTAAGCACTTGACATTCCGTCCCTTTCCACCTCTGCTCTTCATGAGCCGAGCGGGTGCCCTGGGGCTCCGCGGCTTCTGAGAGACCTGAGGTCCAGCTCCCCGTCAAGCCCCAACGCCTAATGGCCGCTGCTCCCGGTCGGAGTGGAGGTGGGACAGCAGGGCCTCAGGCCGCACCGACCTTGTGGAAAACCAAGCTCCAGCCTGCCCTCCTCCGTCCGTGGCTACTCGCGCGACTCTCCCAGACCGCTTGGCCTGAGGGTACAAAAGCCCTAGACAACTGAACTGCAACTCCCAGAATGCACCGGGCCAAGTCGCTTCCGTTTCCGTTCTCAGGGACTTCCCTTTCCCAGAAGTCCCTGAGAAATCTCCGCTTCTGCTTACTTCTGCCCCTGAGCTGAGCAGAGGGGGCGGTGTGGAGGCGTCTCAGCCAACCAGGGCCGCAAGCCAGAATCTCCGTGGTAACCGCCGAAGCCCACTCACTTCGGCGATGCTCCCAGGGGAGGCAGAAGCTTGCATCCGAGGTTTGGGGTTCTGGCCGGCGTTCCGCTTCTGGGGATTGGTGTGCGCTTGACTGCCTCTCCGCGCTCAATCGAACAGGCCCTGGGAAGAAAAGACAGTGTAAAAACTTTACAGACGTTAGAGGACGCTGTGGTCCTTTGGATACTGTTTCTAACAAATTGTAAAAAGATATTTTTGAGAATTGGGAACAGTGGAAGGAGGAGCTGGGTATTAGATAACATTAATGAGTGAACGTCACTTTTGGCATGTCTCAGCAGATACTTCAAAAGCCATCCAGAGGTCGACTGAGTTTGTTTTTAATCTGTCAAGAGCTCAGGCAGCATGGAATGCTGAGTGAAGAATATGTGGCGGAAGAGATCCACAAAGTACTTCAGCCCCTGAAAACAGTCAAGTCCCCGTTTCAGGGCCTTTGCAGCAGGAACAGTGGGGAGTCCCGTCCTGCTGTTTTATTTTCTCATTTTCTCTCTCTGGCCAAACCTGCAAAGAGCATGATAGAACCCTGTTGTAACTGCGAGTGTTTGTTTTCTGATTACAAATGTGACAGTATGTTCATTATGCAAAATCTGAAAAATGTAGAAAAAATATTAATAGAAAAAAATACCAGGAGGAAATACTATTTTCGGCTGCAGGGATTATGGGCTTAAAAATATTTTTTATCTTATGTTTTTCCATATTTCCCAAATTTTCTGCCATGAATTAGAATTACTGCTGTATCATAAAAAGTTTTTAAAGTACATAGTTTGCAATTTATAGAAAGGTCATATGGCTTTCTGTAATGTGAGTAGCATTACATCTACTCACAAAGTTAGGCATAGGGCATAGAAGCAGGTGATACTTCAGAGCTGATCACAAACTTCACAAATAAAAAAACTGGTATAAGATACAGAATATGGTATGCCATCAGTGACACTAGCAAGATGAAAAAAATGCAAGAGTGTAGAGCAGAGTCAGTCAATGCTGGCACTTTACTGATGAGGAAAAGGGAATGTGCTGATTGCTAAGATGCTTGGTGAGCTCAGAAGAAGTCAGCAAAATCACTGTCCTGTTGAGCAAGCCCAAATTGTCTACCCACAGGATCATGAGCAAATAAATGACTGCATTAAGCCACTAAGATTTGGGTTAGTTTGTTAAGGAGGAAAAGCCAAACTAGCAAACACTTATCCCGACACTGTGAAGTCTTCTGCCCTTTCTCCCATGGATTTGAAGTCTCTCCAATACCTCAAGTATGTTTTTGTAGAATCGGGGATCTGTTCTTGGATTTCTGCTGTGGGCCCAGTCCAGGCTGCTTTGTGACCCTCCGAACACATCCTGATTCCAGGTGCCTTCAGTTGCAAGGTTTTGCTCTTCACACCTGGACCTCAGGAAATCAAGGATTTGATGGCCATAGAGTACAAACACCACTCCTGATTTCACATTTAGATTCTGAAAAGGGGATTCTTTATCTAGCATCCTTGGCATATCCCTGCAAGTGTTTTCAGAAACTTGGGCACGGGCATTTTCCTGTGTGATTTTCCCACATTTAAGCAGATTCTTAAAGGGTTACTTGCCTTCTCCAAAATTGTTGAGCTGAGGCTAAAGGAAACTGGTGTGGTTTCTGGTCAGCCTCTCTTTGGGGGCGCTGGGTGGCAGCAGAGGAAAGAGCAAAGTCGAGCTCAGACTCACTCAGAGGCCGGGGAGGCCCCCTGCGTTCCTTCTGTGCTACAGCTCTTAGCTGTGTTTGGCTGTTCTGCGGTTTATTGGTTTGTGCTGTCTTCTTTCTCTCGCAATGAGCTTCATCAGGAAAGGCTTTGGACTCCAACACCTGGCTTTAGCGAAATGCCCCGAGCCTGGAGTTAGAAGTGGGTTTAACAGAGGCACCCGACCACTGGGGCGTGGTCAGCAGGCATGCATGGGATTCTGTGTGAGTTACTTAGTGCCTTATGGCTGTGACTGGGGGATCAAGGTCCTAACACACACACGGTCTGGTGCAAGGTGAGTGACTGGCTATAAAAACACAAATTCCGTTCCCTTCATTGTGACCCCCTTCCCCGAGGGCCACACAATATTCCTCCTGGAACCATGGCTGGCACAGGAGGAAAAACACGAACTCTCCAACAGGCTCCAGGAACTTGAAACCTTGGGGTGCAGTGGGGGGTGAGAACGCATCGGACAATAGTGAGGTGTCCAAAACATGCCGTTTGTGCAGAAGCACCACAGCCAGTGTCAGTGGCCTAAATAGCACGCAGCGTCCTCGGAGCTGCAGGACTCAACTCATCACTCTTGAGCACAGGCTGGCAGAAGCAGCCTCTCGGCATTTGCCAGCCAGGACTCGTACCTCTTTGTGCCTGGGGCAGCTGCTTTCGGCTTGATGAACACAGCAAGTCATCAGGGCAAGGGGTGGGCGGGGGGCGCACAGAACACCTGAGGCGGGGGGCCCATTTCCATCAGTGCTGTGCTGTGCTTAGTCACTCAGTCGTGTCCAGCTCTGAGACCCCATGGACTGTAGCCCACCAGGCTCCTCTGTCCATGGGGATTTTTCCAGGCAGGAATACTGGAATGGGTTGCCATGCCCACCTCCAGGGGATCTTCCCAACCCAGGGATTGAACCTAGGTCTCCCGCATTGCAGGCAGATTCTTTACGGCCTGAGCCACCTAGGGAAGCCCCAGAATACTGGAGCGGGTAGCCTATCCCTTCGCCAAGGGAACTTCCTGATCCAGGAATTGAACCAGGTTCTCCTGCATTGTGGGTGGATTCTTTACCAGCTAAGCTACCAAGGAGGCCCAGTGAGGCCTGACACGTGAGGAACTTTGCTGCTGCCTGGTCAATACCACCCCTCAATCACCCAGCAGGTGTCTAGGAGCCAGGTGCAGCAGGGAAGACCGCCCCCCCACCTTTGGAAAACGGTGCCAGTTCATGCAACTCTACACTAGCCCCTTGGCAGAGCTGCCCCAGACTCCCCCCTCCCCCAACCCCAGACACAGCAGTGATATGGAAGACAATTAGGTGAGCTTGGCCAGGAGGTAGAAGCAGGGTTTGAATGGAAGAAAAGAGGGTCTGTGAAGAAGGCAGGTGGGGCTGCACCTACAAAGGTCAGAGAAAGCAGCCAGGTGGTCTGTATAGTTGGACGCGGGCAGGGGCTCTGTGGGGGCTCAGAACACACCCCTCCGGGCAGGATACAGGCTCCAGAGCATCCCCACACTGTCGCCCTGACCATTCACTAATTTATCCATAACTCATGTTACTGAGCATCTCCAATGTGCTGGCCATCACCCCAGGCACTGGGGAAGCAGGTGGAAAATGTGCCCCATGAGCCCTGGGAGCTTCAGTTCTTGCAAGGAGGCAGATGATAGACAAGATGAGCTTTGGTGTAAATTAAGTGGGATGGGCCATGCACATGCCTTCGGGAAGAGCTTTCTAACAGATTGGTGGGATGTGCAAAGACCCTGAGGCAGGGGTGCTTGTCTGAGGAGAGTCAGAGCCCTGAGTATCTGCAGAGCAATGAGAATAGAGGGAACAACCAGGTTATGAGTATCACGAAGCTTTGGATTTCATTCTAAGTGAGATGAGAGAAGAATGTCATGGCCAGGTCCTTCCGTGTGAGGTAGTTCAGACCAGCGGGAGGCAGGGTGGTGGTGCGTGTGATGTTGCTGTTCAGTTGCTAAGTTGTATCCGACTCTCTGCAACCCTATGAGGGAGCATGCCAGGCTTCCCTGTCCTTCACCATCTCCCGGAGTTTGCTCAAATTCATGTCCATTGAGTTGGTGATGCCATCCAACCATCTCATCCTCTGTCATCTCCTTCTCCTCTTGCCCTCAATCTTTCCCAGCATCAGGCTCTTTTCTAATGAATCAGTTCTTCACATCAGGTGGCCAAAGGATTAGAGCTTCAGCTTCAGCATCAGTCCTTCCAATGAATATTCAGGGTTGATTTTCTTTAGGATGGACTGGTTTGCTCTCCTTGCAGTCCAAGGGACTCTCAAGAGTCTTCTCCAGCACCACAATTCGAAAGCATCAATTCTTTGGCAGTGATGGGAGTATGTGAGGGGAGTGCTGGGTTTGGAATACATTGTAAACGTAGAGCAGGAAGAAATCAAGGAAGGATGTTGGATTCGTGAGAAAGAGCCAAACGGAGTTGACACTGCGATTTGGCCCGAGTATTTAGAATAACATGGCCTCTTACTGAACGGGAAGCCCAAGGTTTTGGGATTGAATGGAGGGCTCCTCTTTGGATGTGACATGTGAGAGGTGACCTCAGAGTCTTCAACAGAGGAAGCAGCTGTAGCTGGGGAGAAGAGGAGCTCTGTGGGGAGACAGCAGGAAGTATGGGGGGAAAGACCACCCAAGGAGGTGAGCCCAGGGCACCCAGCTTCCAAAGGTGGGGGTAGGCACCTCCTGCACAGGACCCTGAAGAGGTGCCTCGAGCAAGGTCCTGAGACTCGGTGAGGAAGTGTTTCAAGGCTTAATGCTGCGTCATCAGGCTCTCATGTGCCCTGCCCCCCACATTGTCCCAGCACGGTACAGAGCCTGGGATCTCTTGTTTGTCTCCCCTCCTCTCCTTGCCCCCTCCCCTCTGCTTATTGGGTTTCTGGCTGGAGTCCCCAAACAGGACAAGCAGGAAAAACTGGCCTGGTCCGGGGGACATCAGTTTCTACTTGGCTACTGGGCTTTGAAGAGGGGGGTTTCTGGGCCACCCTCTGGGATGTGGAAGCTTCAGGTGTGACCTCCAGGAAACTATCCCCCTGCCTGTTATTTGAGAGCCTCTGTCTGCAGGGGCTGAAACCTGTCCTCTCAGGCCACGTGTAGAAAGATTCCAGCAGGGCACAATCCTTGAAGGGCAAATTAATTTTGTCGTTTGGATTATTATTTCAAGAAAGAAGAAGAGATAAAGCGTTGTACTCATCACCTTTAGAAGCAGGCGCACGGCACAGAAGCATGCTGTATGATGCACACCGCCTAATCAGCAGATCCGTTCTGGGCTGTGGTCGGTCCAGGTGCAGCGTGGGGCTCAGGGTTAGAAATTCTGTGGAGGCCAGAATTTCTGGAAAGGGAGGTGGACAGAGAACGTGGCAGTGGAGAGGGGGCGGGAAGACAGCAGCTCACAATTGCCGAGAATGTAGGAGCAGAGGCTAGTGAGAGGCAGAAAGAGAAAGGCAGGCCTGGGAGGGAGGGAAAGAAAACCAGAGCCTGAAGGGCAAATGGACACACTTGGGAGGAGGCTCACCGCCCGAGTCTTGGCACATGAGACGTGGCGTCGGTCTCTGGCTCTGGATCTGTCGACCACAGTGGGTCCTCTCCTTGGAGGGTTCCTATAAAGAAAGCTGAGCGCCGAAGAATTGATGCTTTTGAACTGCGGTGTTTGGAGAAGACTCTTGAGAATCCTATAGACTGCAAGGATATCCAACCAGTCCATCCTAAAGGAGATCAGTCCTGGGTGTTCACTGGAAGGACTTATGCTAAAGCTGAAACTCCAATACTCTGGCCACCTCATGCGAAGAACTGACTCATTAGAAAAGACCCTGATGCTGGGAAAGATTGAGGGCAAGAGGAGAAGGGGACGACAGAGGATGAGATGGTTGGGTGGCATCACCGACTCAATGGACCAGTTTGGGTAAACTCCGGGAGTTGGTGATAGACAGGGAGGCCTGGTGTGCTGCGGTTCATGGGACCTCAAAGAGTCGGACATGACTGAGCAATTAGACTGAACTGAACTGAACCTGTTTCTTGACCCCAACCTCCACTTGGGGGGACAGGGACATTGTGGGGAGGGGGGCAGAGCAAACTCAGGCCTGGTTCACTGGTGTCTCCTCCAGGCCTCATCCTGGGCTTGCTGGGTCCCGTCCCAGCCAAGAATCCCCCACCCTTGAAGCAAACCGAGTTCCTCTTAGTGATTTGTATTTGCATCCTCATCTGGCTGTGGGCTGTAATCTTCACTCTGTCTCTGTTATCCTGGGAGTTGAAATCAGTTTCTTCCCACATTTGCCAGAGTCTTGAATAAAGTCTCTCTTGCACTTTCCAGCAAGTGTCCAGTGAATAATTTGTTCTTAACAAGTGTTGTGAGAGGGCAGCCTTGAGTGTCTAGTGGGGGCCTGGCAGCAGTGAGAGCTGTGTACACAGTTGTGTATATTCCCTTGTGTAGCTGAAGAAGTGGTACGACAGGTGAGGGTCAGCCCCAAGGCATGAACCCCAGAGCTGGGCACCATACTGGAGCACTGGAGGATGCCCATAAAGTGGCACTGGTTGAATAGGTGCTGTGGGAAGAGCAAGAGGCCTGCTTGGACAGGAGGAGCAGCATCTCAGGCAGGGTGGCTGGTGGGGTGACGCTGGGGTCCCTTGAGAAGCACCACTGATTCCAGTTCTCAGACGGGCTGCAGGAGGGCGGCGTTCACAGCCTGTCTCCCCTCTGCTCCTCCCTTCTTCCTGGTTCTTCCCTTTCACTCTCATAACAGGGAAACAGAATTTTGCATCCTTTGCCAGGATCATTTGGAGTCAGGTGCCTGACTTTAAAGGTTGATGCAGGAAACGTGCTTCATGTTACTCAGAAAGTCACCAACACATGCTCCTTCCCAGTGATGTGGCCTCAGGTGTTTTCCCCTGGGTTTCTGGACCTTGTAGGCAAAGCTGGGTCTCCACCTGTCTGACCTCTGATGTATTTCTGAGGCCCGGAGATCCAGGGAGAGTGTGATGGTCTGAAGCATGTGTCTGGTTAACCCCTCATTAACACGTCTCAAATGCAGTGTCTTGGAGCCGTCACACCAGCCATCACAGGCATCCCCCCGGCCAACCTGGCTCTGACCTGCCTGTGCCTGGGGTGGGCTCTCCCTCCAGAAGCCAACTCTGGACATTGCTGGACGGATGGAGCACCTGGGCCTCCTCCCTGCTCTCCTCCCCTGTCCAGCCCGTCCCCAGGGTGTGAAATCTGATATTTTTCAACTCCAAGCAGCAAGCCAGGTAAGTAAAAAAATGGTTCTCTTGAGCTGGGTTGAGAAACTAGTTGCGTGAAGTAATGAGTTGAAATGGACTTGACTAAGTGCCAAGTTGTAGCTGAATGTCCTGGAGACTGGAGATCTGGTTCAATTAAGCTTTAATATATTTTTTTAGGTGAACTGTTAACACTGTTGTTTTTAGTTAAGAGTCAGCTTTTACAGAGAATGACACCAGGCTCCTGAATAACAAAGGAGCAAGACCCAGGAATGCTCCCAGTGTGTGTTGGGGTGGGGAGAAGGCAGGGCTGCTGTCACCTGGATGTGGGGGAGCTGTGGGGCTGAGCAGAGGCAGCGGGAATGCAGAAGCCCAGAGGCAGAGGGATTGTGCAGCTTGGTGAAAAGGCAATGCACTGTCTCGAGTGGAATTCGAGGTACACAGTCATAAGCCACACAAAACTTGCAGCAGATTCCCCCAAATATTCTTTCACATCCTCTGCACCCTGTTTGCTGACTTGGGGTGTCCTGCCAAGGGTCACCTCATGGACTAGAGATCAGGCCATGTCCTTGGAGCTCTGGGTGCGTCCAGGAATCAGCTGACCCATTCCATGGGAGCCTGTGTCCTTACCTGAACCCTGCTTTATCAAGGAGATGCCTCAGCTCTGGGGCCTGCAGAGGACCGGGGCAGGGAGCAGGGTTGGAAGGTTTAGCCAGCCACCGTGGCTCAGCGTCCAGCCCTCCTGCGCTCGCCCATTTCCAGGAGGAAGTCTGGGAACGGAGCCCAGCTCCTGGCGCCAAAGCTTTGCTTCTGCCCTTCCTGACTCTAGAAATTGGGGGCCAGGTCCCTGGCCTTGCCAGCCTACACCCCTACCCACTGTCTTGAACCTGTTGGGGGGCTCTGGGAACCTGGGCTAATGCCCAGGGCTTGTGCCAGGCGCACACCGATGCTCCTCGTGGCCAGCAGGTGGCGATGCAGGAGCGCTGGAAGGGCAAAGGGCTGGGCTTCCTCCGGTGGGACCCCCACTCCCTGAAGCCTCAGGTGGTTGCTGAGGCTCCCCTGCTAGCTGGGAAGTGTGCGCTCAGGGCAAGCGGTCAAGCTGCAGTGCTGGGAGGGCTGGGCGAACCAATGCAGAAGCCAGAGCTCTGGGAAGCCCTCCACACTTCCCCGTGTTTTCTGCCCTCTGTGTTCGATGCTTCAGGGGTGGTTCCACTTAAGCAAGCTGGTCAGTCCTTGATGCCTGGTTCATGGATGGGATAGTAGAGGCTCAAGTCAGGGGCAGGACCAGGGTACTCACATGGCAGCCCTGAACGGGCCAAGGCAGAAAGTCAGCATGTTCTTGCCATTTCTGTTCTAAGCCCTGGAGTCTCAAGTCGGCCTGGGGCCCTCGGTCTCCAGCCTGTCCGTCAGGCCAAGGGTGTGTGCAGGGCTGGCAGGGTGGGTGTCTATAAGCATGCAGGAGTGTGAGGTGTGGATGTGTTCCCTGTGAGTGAATGTCTGGGTGTATCTCACAGTCTGTGTGTGTCTGTGTATCTGAGTGTGTGAGCAGTTCCTGGGTCTTGTAAGCTTCATCTCTTCCTTGGTCTAAGATACTTAGACAAGTTGTCTCACAAATGCATCTGCAAGACAGATCCAAACCATTTCCTCTGCTCAAAGGGAGCACCCAGTGTCTGCAGGTGGAGATGTCCCCACCCTTCATGTGACTTCACTTGACCCTGTTCCCGCTGACCCTAGAGGTGCCCCCAGGATGGTGACCGTTCTAGGAAGGAGATGCTCGGTGAAACTCATCAACTCCCCGTTGCTTCTAGGAAACAGTAGTAACTTTGCTCATATTCAGCAAGTCCAAGTTGCCTCAGCTTGGAGGTCATGCGGCCAGGCTTCCTGGTGCCAGCGGGTGACTCAGCTCGAGCAGGCACCCCACCCACCCACAGCCCTCACAGGCGGGCCACGTCCCGCCTCTGCAGGGCCAGCACGCGGGTTCTGTTCCCTGGCTGCGTCACCCAACCTCCTGGGGTCCATCTCACCTCCCACTACCCTATGCTGGGGATACATGGGGTGTGGAGGGTGGGGCCCACAAAGCCCCGCAGTAATTGATTAAGACAAGCTGGGCACTAGTAGCAGCTGACTCGAGGAGCTGAGCGACTTGAGAAGCGATGGCCGTAAAACACACCAATGGCCCTGGCAGGTCGAAGGTTGAGAGAGGAGGGCTGGAGGTCTGTAGAGCCGGGACTTGGGGGCTGTTGGGCCTGGATAGCTGCTGGCCTCTCCTGGGATTTCCGTCAGTTGGCACCGCTGCAAACCTGCGTGGGAGCAGGAATGCTGAGTCACAGGCCCTTGGTCAGCTTGTAGAGACGTTTTAACACGTGCAACGTGAAAGATCCTGCTAAGAGAGAGGATCCCAGGTATATGCATTTTGTTTACAGGAAGAGGCTGGGTGGGGATCAAGAGGTCATGAGCAGAAACCCGAGTGGGCCCATGGGTCCCACCAGAGTGCCCAGAAAGTGAAAGTCTGAGGTGTACCCAAGAGTGCCCCATCTGTGCCCAGTTAGACTGCCCTGAATGTCCCCGTGGGCAGCGAGCAGGTCCCCAGCCTGAGTGCCCTGTGGACCTGCTGTGGGGCCGTCTTTCCAGACAGTGAACCTCACCTGCTCTCAGGGCAGGGCTGAGCCCCAACCTACCTGTTCTGATCATCCCACGTGAGGGTCCAGAGCTCCTGCAGGCAGTGTGTGAGTAGGGTGCAAGGCCTTGCCCAGAAAACTCATCCTTGGTCCAGACCCTTGTCACTTAACATGTCTCATTGCCCAGAGCCCTGCCCACACCCTCCCAGGAGGATTCTCAACAATGGTTCTTGGCTGCATGTCCTGTGTTCCAACTCAGCTTAGATGTCCCCCAACCAGGTAGCGCTGAGCAAGCTGCTCTCCAGGAAATGCAGGAAGAGGTGTCTGAGCCCAGAGTACACATCCTCCTCTGTACAGATGAGAAATCTGCTACCCCACTGGTGCGGTGCTCTGCATTCCTCAGACTTAGGAAGCCTCCTGTGATCCTGGTTGCCCCAGTTGTCCCCTTCAGGCCTCTAGAAAGATTTCCCACACCCCCACTCCACCCCCTGCCCTTGTTGTTACCAGACTGCTCTGGCTTTGAGGGTCCCTGACAGGTTCTGATGGGCCTCAACCCTCGAGGGGCTGCGGGTCCTGCAGGGGAGGGTGGGATCAGCACTGAGTCCTGCTGATCGGCAGAGGAAGGGCTAGGCTGAGGGAGCTGCTTGTGGATGGGGCCAGCTGCCCCCCTCCAACCTCCCTACCACTGGCTGCCGCCTTGACCCACTGCTGCCCCAAGTCTAAGGCCTCTTTGTTGACAAGCAGCCGTTCTCTTGCTCCAGCCCTAATCCAGCTCCAATTAGAGAGAGAACATGTGCTTTGGCTGAATGGCCTGGCTGGTGGCAGAGCCTGAAGGCCTGCTCACCCGCTGGCCGGCTGGCCTCGCACAGGGGCCCTGCCTTGGTTTGCGGAACCAAGACTATGAGAGCCGTGGCCACTCTGTACAGAAACCAGAGTGCCCGAGGGGCACCTCTGCAGGCTCCAGGTACTGCACCCCATCTACAGCCAGAGAGAAGGGGATGGAAGGAGTGAGTGTGTCTGCAGGATGGAGGAGGGTCAGGTCACACCAGCCGGAAGGTCAGGAGTGGGGCAGCCTCGGCCTCTAGGCGAGGAGGACTTGGAGGGGCTCTGTCCAGGTTGCCAGGAGAGGGTCTCCTCCAGCAGGAAAATTGACTTTTCAGTGAAGTTGTAGCTTTTGGAAATACAAGTTGGGGAGGAGGCAGTGATCATCGGAGAGGGGTCATGCTGGGGTCTTATCAACGTCATCACAGCCTCACCCACCCAGAACACCTAACATGATGCTCCCAGCCACTCTGGGTGGGCTGAGCCGCCCTCACATTGTCTCATAGCCCCTGGCCAGGAGGCAGGCAGCCCATCTTTTTCAGGATGCCAAGCTTGCCCTGCCTGGGCCTGTCCTGCCCTGGTGGCTTCTGTGGCATCTCATTCGCTGCTGTGTGACATCAGGCAAGTTCCCCAACCTCTCTGTGCCTAAATTTCTTCACCTGTAAAATGGGGACGATTACAGGACTAGCAGCCCAGGAACTGTTGAAGGCTCTTCCTTCCTGGAGCCAGGCCGGTCCATGAACTCGGCAATGTGAGCCCAGAAGGATGAGGAGGTAGTGGCCAGCTGTGTCAGACATACATTCCATGGAGAAAGCCTTTGGGGAGAGCTCATTGTGGAAAGAGCTTTCTTCCTTTTGTGTATTAGCAAGTTAGCACAGAAATAGCCAGAGCTTCCTAGACCTACGTGATGTAGGTTCAGAGTCTTCAATGATGGGCTCTGGGGCAGAATTGAGCTGCCTCTGAGGTTCAAGGATGAGCCCTCACATAGTGAGTGGTCAGCCTGGGGCAGGTAGTTGAGGATGCAGTGATTGAGAAACAATGGAGAAATAGATGACAAGGGAAGAGGGATGGGGACAGGCTGAGTGTCCACTCAGCACCCTGGCTAAGGTTGTCACCAATACCTAGAGGGAAGGCCAAGACCACCTCCAGATCTAGCCTCCGGGGCTTCCCCACCTAGTTATGGTGGTTCCAGTTTGTGTGTTAGTCACTCAGCCATGTCTGACTCTTTTCGACCCCTTGGACTGTAGCCCGCCAGACTCCTCTGTCTGTGGGATTCTCCAGGCAAGAATACTGGAATGGGTTGCCATGCCCTCCTCCAGGGGATCTTCTCAACCCAGGGATGGAACCCAGGTCTCCTGCATTGCAGACAGCTTCTTTACTGTCTCAGCCACCAGGGAAGCCCTGCCTGGAGTCTGAGCTTATTAAAGTTTGTGTTGCTCAGAGATCCTCTTCAGGCAGTTCCATGAACAGAGCCCTGAGCTGTGAGGACCAGCCTCATGGGATCAAGACTCAGGTTCACAGAGACAGGCTCTGACCAGTGCACTGGTCCCCTCTGGGGGAGCTGGGAGCCTGGGGAAGGTTTTTAGTTTCTAAGTGTGTTCAGATGCTGTGCCTGGCCATTTAAACGTTTAAAAAGAAAGCCAGCTATTCCAATATTTACCATCTGGTCAAGTCCATGGCCAGAGAGGGCAGCATGGACAGGCAGGAACTGGGCCTGCAAGATAAGAAGTTCGAGGCTGAGCCGAGTGGCTTCCAGGTGGAAGTTGATGATGCTTGACTGCTTCCATTCCTTAAAGCTCTGTATCCACTCATGGCATCATCACAGGCTTGAAAAGAGCAAGACATTCTGCAAAACTCAAATACACACTCCGTTGCTGGGTCAGTGAGGGCAGGACTGGCTCTTTGCTGAGCCCAGGAGGGACCGTGGGAGGTGTGGACTGCGGAGGGCTGGCCAGGATCAGATCCTGGCATCTGCCCTGCCTAGCACTGCCTATCAGGAGGGACTGGAGGAGACAGTGACCCCTTGGGAATGGTTTAGCAGTCAGACCCCGATGCGGGGGTCTCGGTACCACCCAAACACTGGCTGACCAGGGACTGACCCCAACTGGCCAAACCCTGTGGCCACTCCCAGAAGCACTTCCCACCCCGTGTCTCTAGCCTAGATCCAGGTACCTGGGCTTGTTATGGTAATGTGTGTGTGCTCAGTCATGCCTTACCCTTTGGGACTCCATGGACTGTAGGCCGCCAGACTCCTCTGTCCATGGAATTCTCCAGGCAAGAACACTGGAGTGGGATGCCATTTCCTTCTCCAGGGGATCTTCCTGAACCAGGGACTGAACCTGAAACTCTTGTGTCTCTTGCATTGCCAGGTGGATTCTTTTAAGAGAAATCACAGCCCTGGCCTCGTGACATGCCCTATGTCAGGTGGACGCCCCACAGGTGTTTGTTTTGGGGATTTCTGGGGAAAGGCGTGTTCCCAAACATGACTCCTCCCCAGTCAAGTTTCCTTCTCCTCTCCTTTCATCCCCGCCAGCCCAGGACCCCACCCAGCCACGGGGCAGAGAGATGTCCTGACTCAGGCAGAGCTCGGCCAGCTCAACTCCCCCACCAGCTTCCTGCCGAGCTGACCCGGATGTCTGGAGCACTGCCCGTGATGACCTGGACCCCTGAGCCACCTCCACAGCCACGTGCCTCAGGCCAGGGGCTGGGGGAGGCGGTCTAGCCCAGTGTAGGCCCCCAGGGAACGGGGGTAGAAGGCACACAGGACTTCCTTAGCACTTACAGCCTTTTAGTCAACCCTGAGCTGAGTTTTCTTCTCAAGTTCACATTCAACACGGTCTTAGGCTCGGGATGCAAATGATGTACCTGCTGGCTCTGCAGCTGCCAGCTGATGTAGGGTGGCCCTTATCCTCCCTGGGTTCTTCCCTCTCCAGCCCCAACCCTGTAAGTGAGAAGCCTGTGGCTAGTTAGTGCTAAGGGCCCTTGGGCTTGTATTGTGAAAATGCTCGGCAGACTTCAGCCACCAAAGTCACTTGCAGCCACACTGGTCCATTCCCTCTAAGCTGTACCAGGCCTCCAGGGTCAAAGCCTTTCTCCATAATGATCGCATGAAAACTAAGGTCCAAGGCCTCGGTCGGCAGTCCTTCTGGGCCTGCAATGGTCTCAGCACCTGCTCCCCTGACCAGCAGAACCACAGCGGTTACTGTCACTATAGCCGGGGGGTGCTTGACCTCCTAGGCCCCTAGCCATTGTATAGATCAGGTGAGAAATTTCTACTTATTCATGCAAACACATAGATCTGGCTCCTCATAAGAAACCAACCCTGTTGGTGCCCAGGCTCTGGGGGCGACACTCACCATCCCCCACAAGGGTGAAGGCATGGGTGGACACGGGTTCTGCCCCTCAAGCAGACCAGCCTGGTCCCAAGGGACCAGAGTCCCAGGCAGGGATGACCCAGGAAGCACTTGCGTGTGTGTCACTGATTGGTAAGGTCCTGTGGTTGGCAAAGAGGTTCTGAACCAAGAACGAACATCCAGCAATTAACTACATGCACAGAAGTGCAGCCAGCTCGGGGGAGCTGGGAGCCTCTGCCTGGGCTGGGTATGAGGTTCAGCCCGAGGGACCTGCCTTGCCGAGCCCCCTGAGGAGCAGCCCAAGGACCACGGACTCTGCCTTTACTTTCCTGTTACTGGGGATGAGTCTGATTCATGTGTTTCCTGTGACAGCCGCTACATCATCACATCCGCTCCGAGAACTATTTTTAACTGATTTATGTATTTCTTATATGAGGAACACATCGACTTCTGTTTTAGTCCGTTTTACAGGAAAGTGTTGCAACCGTGCCCAGCTCAGCAACATCCGTCACCGCGGAGCAGTAGGGAAGGCCGTCTCCCCTCCGCAGTGTCACAGAAATTAATAAAGCTGGAAATGCGAAGGCAGGCTCCGATGAAAAGGAGGAAACTCAACAGTTTTCCCCTTCTGCGGAATTCAACACGCCTGTTTCGAAAAGAGCACGCTGTTTCTTTCCATTCCCGCGGCAGGTTCTCGGGGCCTCTGCCATTGCTGCCAATGCTCCCAGACTGACCTCCCTGAGGTGTCTACCAGGAAAGCCCAGCTCCCTAGGTACCCACCCTTGAGGTGGTGGCTCTTGGGTGGGTACTGTGGGCAGCCAGCAAAGCCCCTTCTCTGTCAGACATCCCCTCCGCAGTGTCACAGAAATTAATAAAGTTGGAAATGCGAAGGCAGGCTCCGATGAAAAGGAGGAAACTCAACAGTTTTCCCCTTCTGCGGAATTCAACACGCCTGTTTCGAAAAGAGCACGCTGCTTCTTTCCACTCCCGCGGCAGGTTCTCGGGGCCTCTGCCATTGCTGCCAGTGCTCCCAGACTGACCTCCCTGAGGTGTCTACCAGGAAAGCCCAGCTCCCTAGGTACCCACCCTTGAGGTGGTGGCTCTTGGGTGGGTACTGTGGGCAGCCAGCAAAGCCCCTTCTCTGTCAGACGAGACATGCAGGAGAGAGCGGTCCCGTGACGGTCAGCTTGGTGGTTTGGTTCTGTGGCGCCTGTCTCCTGGCCGAGCTCCGTCCCTCAGTGGTGCAGGTCACCTGGCTGATGCTCACAGCAGCGGTGGCTTGCGGAGGGT